GTATGGATGGTATATATGTTGTATGGATGGTGTAAATGTTGTATCGATGGTATCAATGCTGTATGGATGGTGTAAATGTTGTATGGGTAGTATATATGTTGTGTGGATGGTGTAAATGTTGTATGGATGGTGTATATGTTGTATGGATGGTTTAAATGTGGATGGTGTATATGTTGTATGGATGGTATATATGTTGTATGGATGGTATAAATGTGGATGGTGTAAATGTTGTATGGATGGTATATATGTTGTATGGATGGTGTATATGTTGTATGGATGGTTTAAATGTGGATGGTGTAAATGTTGTATGGATGGTATATATGTTGTATGGATGGTATATATGTTGTATGGATGGTTTATATGTTGTATGGATGGTATAAATGTGGATGGTATATATGTTGTATGGATGGTATATATGTTGTATGGATGGTGTATATGTTGTATGGATGGTTTAAATGTGGATGGTGTATATGTTGTATGGATGGTATTAATGTTGTATGGATGGTATATATGTTGTATGGATGGTGTAAATGTGGATGGTGTAAATGTTGTATGGATGGTATATATGTTGTATGGATGGTATATATGTTGTATGGATGGTATATATGTTGTATGGATGGTGTAAATGTTGTATGGATGGTATATATGTTGTATGGATGGTATATATGTCGTATGGATGATGTATATGTGGATGGTGTAAATGTTGCATGGATGGTGTAAATGTTGTATGGATGATGTATATGTTGTATGGATGGTGTATATGTTGTATGGATGATGTACATGTTGTATGGATGGTATATATGTCGTATGGATGATGTATATGTGGATGGTGTAAATGTTGTATGGATGGTGTAAATGTTGTATGGATGGTGTAAATGTTGTATGGATGGTGTAAATGTTGTATTGATGGTGTATATGTTGTATGGATTGTGTATATGTTGTATGGATGGTGTAAATGTTGTATGGATGGTGTAAATGTTGTATGGATGGTGTAAATGTTGTATGGATGGTATTAATGTTGTATGGATGGTGTAAATGTTGTATGGATGGTGTAAATGTTGTATGGATGGTGTAAATGTTGTATGGATGATGTAAATGTTGTATGGATGGTATATATGTTGTATGGATGGTGTATATGTTGTATGGATGGTATAGATGTTGTATGGATGGTGTAAATGTTGTATGGATGGTGTATATGTTGCATGGATGGTGTAAATGTTGTATGGCTGATGTATATGTTGTATGGATGGTGTAAATGTTGTATGGATGGTGTAAATGTTGTATGGATGGTGTAAATGTTGTATGGATGGTGTAAATGTTGTATGCATAGTATATATGTTGTATGGATGGTGTAAATGTTGTATGGATGATGTATATGTTGTATGGATGGTGTAAATGTTGTATCGATGATGTATATGTTGTATGGATGGTGTAAATGTTGTATCGATGGTATCAATGCTGTATGGATGGTGTAAATGTTGTATGGGTAGTATATATGTTGTGTGGATGGTGTAAATGTTGTATGGATGGTGTATATGTTGTATGGATGGTGTATATGTTGTATGGATGGTATTAATGTTGTATGGATGGTATATATGTTGTATGGATGGTGTAAATGTCGTATGGATGGTGTAAATGTGGATGGTGTAAATGTTGTATGGATGGTGTAAATGTCGTATGGATGGTGTAAATGTGGATGGTGTAAATGTTGTATGGATGGTGTAAATGTCGTATGGATGGTGTAAATGTGGATAGTATATATGTTGTATGGATGGTGTAAATGTTGTATGGATGGTATATATGTTGTATGGATAGTATACATGTTGTATGGACAGTATATATGTTGTATAGGTGGTGTAAATGTGGATGGTGTAAATGTTGTATGGATGGTGTAAATGTGGATGGTGTAAATGTTGTATGGATAGTATATATGTTGTATGGATGGTATATATGTTGTATAGATGCTGCATATGGTGTGTATGGATCATGTTTATGTTATCTAGATGATGTGTATGCTGTGTGTGGGTGCCGATTTGGTGTGTATGTATGCCGTTTGTTATTTGGATGTTGTGTATGCTGTGTATGGGTGCCGATTTGGTGTGTATGTATGCCGTTTATCGTAAGAAAGGACGTTTGTTATGATGTATCTTCGTTGCTGTATACTTTGTATGGATGGTGTGAATGGTATATAGATGCTGTGCATGGATGTTGTATGTGTTGTATGAATGTTTTATATGTTGCGTGGAATCTGAATTTGGTGAATATGAATGTTGTATATAGTATGCATTGCCTAACTGATCTGTCCTCTATATAGCAGTACCCTACTTATTTGTCCCCTACACAGTACCCCAATCATGTTCCCTACAAACCAATACCCTACTAATGTGACAATTAGAAAGTAGTATCCTACTAAGTTGTCCTGTACATGTCTGTATCCTACTGACCTCTCCACTACATAGCTGTATCCTACTGATCTCTCCACTACATAGCTGTACCCTACCGATCTCTCCACTACATAGCTGTACCCTACCGATCTCTCCGCTACATAGCTGTACCCTACCGATCTCTCCACTACATAGCTGTACCCTACTTATCTCTCCACTACATAGCTGTACCCTACCGATCTCTCCACTACATAGCTGTACCCTACCGATCTCTCCACTACATAGCTGTACCCTACTGATCTCTCCACTACATAGCTGTACCCTACTGATCTCTCCACTACATAGCTGTACCCTACTGATCTCTCCACTACATAGCTGTACCCTACTGATCTCTCCACTACATAGCTGTACCCTACTGATCTCTCCACTACATAGCTGTACCCCACTGATCTCTCCACTACATAGCTGTACCCCACTGATCTCTCCACTACATAGCTGTCCTCTACTGATCTCTCCACTACATAGCTGTACCCTACCGATCTCTCCACTACATAGCTGTACCCCACTGATCTCTCCACTACATAGCTGTACCCCACTGATCTCTCCACTACATAGCTGTACCCTACTGATCTCTCCACTACATAGCTGTACCCTACTGATCTCTCCACTACATAGCTGTACCCTACTGATCTCTCCACTACATAGCTGTACCCTACCGATCTCTCCACTACATAGCTGTATCCTACTGATCTCTCCACTACATATCTGTACCCTACTGATCTCTCCACTACATAGCTGTACCCTACTTATCTCTCCACTACATAGCTGTATGCGTTTGATCTGTCCTAAAAAAAGGAGAACCCTATCTGTCCTCTAGAAAGTAGTACCCAACTAATTTGTCCTCTAGAAAGTAGTACCTTACTCATCTGTCCTCTAGAAAGTAGTACCCTACTAATCTGTCCTCTAGAAAGTAGTACCTTACTCATCTGTCCTCTAGAAAGTAGTACCTTACTAATCTGTCCTCTAGAAAGTAGTACCTTACTAATCTGTCCTCTAGAAAGTAGTACCTTACTCATCTGTCCTCTAGAAAGTAGTACCTTACTAATCTGTCCTCTAGAAAGTAGTACCTTACTCATCTGTCCTCTAGAAAGTAGTACCCTACTAATCTGTCCTCTAGAAAGTAGTACCTTACTCATCTGTCCTCTAGAAAGTAGTACCTTACTAATATGTCCTCTAGAAAGTAGTACCCAACTCATCTGTCCTCTAGAAAGTAGTAACTTACTAATTTGTCCTCTAGAAAGTAGTACCTTACTCATCTGTCCTCTAGAAAGTAGTACCTTACTCATCTGTCCTCTAGAAAGTAGTACCCTACTAATCTGTCCTCTAGAAAGTAGTAACTTACTCATCTGTCCTCTAGAAAGTAATACCCTACTAATCTGTCCTCTAGAAAGTAGTACCCTACTAATCTGTCCTCTAGAAAGTAGTACCTTACTCATCTGTCCTCTAGAAAGTAGTACCCAACTAATTTGTCCTCTAGAAAGTAGTACCTTACTCATCTGTCCTCTAGAAAGTAGTACCCAACTAATTTGTCCTCTAGAAAGTAGTACCTTACTCATCTGTCCTCTAGAAAGTAGTACCTTACTCATCTGTCCTCTAGAAAGTAGTACCCAACTAATTTGTCCTCTAGAAAGTAGTACCTTACTCATCTGTCCTCTAGAAAGTAGTACCCTACTAATCTGTCCTCTAGAAAGTAGTACCTCACCAATCTGTCCTCTAGAAAGTAGTAACTTACTCATCTGTCCTCTAGAAAGTAGTACCCAACTAATTTGTCCTCTAGAAAGTAGTACCTTACTCATCTGTCCTCTAGAAAGTAGTACCCAACTAATTTGTCCTCTAGAAAGTAGTACCTTACTCATCTGTCCTCTAGAAAGTAGTACCCAACTCATCTGTCCTCTACATAGCAGTACCCAAAAATATGTCTGGTACATAGGGGTACCTAAAATTGTCCTCTACATAGAAAAACCCAACTTTTCTGTTGTACTGTCCTCTACACAGAAATACCCAACTTTTCTCTTGTACTGTCCTCTACACAGAAATACCCAACTTTTCTGTTGTACTGTCCTCTACATAGAAATACCCAACTTTTCTGTTTTTATACAGCAATACCTTGCTAATCTGTTCTCTATAAAGACGTATCTATTAATCTGTCCTCCACAAAGCAGAATCCTACAAATCTCTTCTATTTATAGCTGTGCCCTATAGATCTGTCCTCTACATATCAATACCCTACAAATCTGTCCTCTACATACCAGTGTACTTGCAAATCTGCCTTCTACATAGCATTTCCGCAGAAATCTGTCCTTTCCATAGCAGTATCCTAATGATGTATCTTCCCTATAGCAGTGATCTAAATTTTTCGTATGTCGATTAGGCTAGCCAATCAGATATTTACATAAGGTAATTCATCCAACATATTATGTTAATTTGTATTATACTGTGATATATTTCAATCTCATCTGCAAACAAATTCTGTCAAGTGTCTTTCATCAAGTGTTTTATTTACATCAATCACACAAAGATATAAATTTTATACTTGCAGCTATTTCTCGTAGCACTTACATAATTCATTTATTGATCATTGATACAAGAAGGTATTTATTTCATGGTATACACAAAACTCCAACACTGGATGCTGATAGGCAATTCCTTTCTATATATTTATATAAAAATTTATCACACAATCTCTGCAGTTAGTAGGAAGTTATTTCTTCAATCCAAAATAGGTGAAGGTCCTTTATCTTTCTATGATCCTTCGACACTACAAATTTGAAAAAAAACTTCATTTCTACCATTAGCAGTTCGTATTTCAATAGTAAATCTCCTCATCCATGGACACCCTGCTTGTCTGGCCTCTCCTTAGCAGTGTCCTACAAGTCTGACCTCTCTATAGCAGTGTCAACAAGTTTGACCTCTCTATAGCAGTGTCAATAAGTTTGACCTCTCTATAGCAGTGCAACAAGTCTGACCTCTCTATAGCAGTGTCAACAAGTCTGACCTCTCTATAGCAGTGTCAACAAGTCTGACCTCTCTATAGCAGTGTCAACAAGTTTGACCTTTCTATAGCAGTGTCAACAAGTCTGACCTCTCTATAGCAGTGTCCTACAAGTCTGACCTCTCTATAGCAGTGTCCTACAAGTCTGACCTTTTGAAAGTAGTATCTTCCTTTACTGTCCCATTCATAGCAGTGCCCTACGAGTCTGACCTCTCATTAACAATGTCAAGATGTCTTACCTCTCCATAGTAGTGCCCTACGCATCTGACCTCTCCTTAGTAATGACAAGATGTCTTACCACTCCATAGTAGTGCCCTACGCGTCTGACCTCTCCTTAGCAATGTCAAGATGTCTTACCTTAGCAATGTCAAAATGTCTTACCTCTCCACAGTAGTGCCCTACGCATCTGACCTCTCCTTAGTAATGACAAGATGTCTTACCTCTCCATAGTAGTGCCCTACGCATCTGACCTCTCCTTAGTAATGACAAGATGTCTTACCACTCCATAGTAGTGCCCTACGCGTCTGACCTCTCCTTAGCAATGTCAAGATGTCTTACCTTAGCAATGTCAAAATGTCTTACCTCTCCACAGTAGTGCCCTACGCATCTGACCTCTCCTTAGTAATGACAAGATGTCTTACCTCTCCATAGTAGTGCCCTACGCATCTGACCTCTCCTTAGTAATGACAAGATGTCTTACCACTCCATAGTAGTGCCCTACGCGTCTGACCTCTCCTTAGCAATGTCAAGATGTCTTACCTTAGCAATGTCAAAATGTCTTACCTCTCCACAGTAGTGCCCTACGAGTCTGACCTCTCCTTAGCAATGTCAAGATGTCTTACCTCTCCATAGTAGTGCCCTACGCGTCTGACCTCTCCCTAGTAATGTCAAGATGTCTTACCTCTCCATAGTAGTGCCCTATGCATCTGACCTCTCCATAGCAGTGCCCTTCAAGTCTGTCCTCTCCATAGCAGTGTCAACAAGTCTGTCCTCACCGTAGCAGTGTCAACAAGTCTGACCTCTCCATAGCAGTGTCAACAAGTCTTACTTCTCCATAGTAGTGCCCTACGCGTCTGACCTCTCCTTAGCAATGTCAAGATGTCTTACCTCTCCATAGTAGTGCCCTTCGCGTCTGACCTCTCCATAGCAGTGTCAACAAGTCTGTCCTCTCTATAGCAGTGTCAACATGTCTGACCTCTCCATAGCAGTGTCAACAAGTCTGACCTCTCCATAGCAGTGTCAACAAGTCTGACCTCTCCATAGCAGTGTCCCATCAATCTTTCCTCTCCCTGAAATTGGTTACTCACATATCCACAGCCAGGTCACCACTGGTTCCTCCTTTTTTAAAAACTTTTTATTGGTCTTTCCTCCATACAACAATCTTGTAATAAAAAATATCTATCTACCAAAGTCATCTGCTACATACACTGACCTGCTAGAGGTCAATCATTTCCACAAAAATCTCATAAGCCTATTTATGTCCACACCAATCTCACAGATGTTGATGAAGATGTTATCTCATCACATCAATGCCAAAGAGGTCAATCAATTCAAGTCAGTACTGTACTGATCTGTCACTATCCATGTCCAGTGTCTTTACCAGTCTCCTAGAGGTCAATCTGATAAACACATGACCCTAGTTACCCATCACTATCCATGTCAAGTGTCTACAATATTCTCATTGACTTTTATCTGTTGAAGAAAGTGCCTTACTGACCAATCACTGTCAATTTCCAGAGTCTACAACAGCCTTTTAGAGTTCAATCTGTTGAAGTCAGTACCCTACATATCAATCACTGTTCATGTCCATTGTCTATACCAGTCTCATTGAGGTCAATCTGTTGTTGAAGTCAGTACCCTACATATCAATCACTGTCCATGTCCATTGTCTATACCAGTCTCACTGAGGTCAATCTGTTGTTGAAGTCAGTGCCCTTCATATCAATCACTGTTCATATCCATTGTCTATACCAGTCTCCTTGAGGTCAATCCGTTGTTGAAGTCAGTGCCCTACATATCAATCACTGTTCATGTCCATTGTCTATACCAGTCTCCTTGAGGTCAATCCGTTGTTGAAGTCAGTGCCCTACATATCAATCACTGTTCATGTCCATTGTCTATACCAGTCTCCTTGAGGTCAATCTGTTGTTGAAGTCAGTGCCCTACATATCAATCACTGTTCATGTCCATTGTCTATACCAGCCTCATTGAGGTCAATCTGTTGTCGAAGTATGTACCCTACTGATTAATCACTGTTCATGTCTATACCAGTCTCCTTGAGGTCAATCAGTTGTTGAAGTATGTACCCTACTCATCCCAGTATTCTAGCTTCTTGATAACCTTTCTGTTTCAAAATCACAGTCCAACCATTAGCCTCCCATCTTCACACCATAGGTATCTGTAACTTGTCTATCATTTAAGGCTGTCAAGCTGAGATTCCTTAGGATAACATTCTCTCTCCAAGTCGCCTACAGTTCTAACAAATGTCCTCAACAGTGTTGCATTAATGTGGCATAGTGAGGCCACAAACATGGCATCTGCAATAAATCAGAATAAAAATAGTAAATAAATCTCAAAAAAAATTTAATTACTGAACAATTTGGTGGATATCATTGTCAGGTTAGCTTGGTATAATGGAACACATTATCCTTCAGGAATACATCTTTATACAGTGTGTAATATCTTGCTTACTCATCTGATGCTCAACCGATCAAGCTAATGAGAAGTTCTCTCGAGCCGAGTGGTATGTTGAGGATTGTATCTTTCCAAGGTTACATACTTCCCCTCCTGGAAATAACTCATTCTTGAAATTCCAGGGGTTACAGCAGAACTTATGAAAGTGAGTATTATTCCCAAGACTCTACTTGGCCACCAATTTAACGGAGGTCATTATTCATTCTAGCTTCAGATTCTAATTTGGAAACCTTGGCTTACTAGTACGATGCTCAACCGATCAGGTTAAAGAGAAATGCTAATTACCAACAGTATATTGTGGCTATAATTTTATCAGGGATACAAGTGTGTGCTTTATGCCTGAAAAATTGCGCCTTGGCATTTATTTAACTTCAAATTGATATCTAGCTGTGGATATTCTAGTGATTAGTGATAAAAACTGTATTGACAGAACATTTAATTCATTACACTTACCATTAAGTAACACTGTCAAAGGTACAGTTTCCAAAAGGGTCTTCTCTGGGTTTGAACTGATTTTCTGTCCTGCATTGTGACTAGCTGAATGGAATGTGTCCATCTCACTCTGTACATTCAGTTCATGCTCAGAGTCAAATGTATAATTATGGGGAATGTTTTCTTTGCCAAGGTCCTGTATCTTTTTCTCAACCAATTCAAGCTGCTGAAGGACCAAGACTGGACTTCCTGTGTATTCTTCACAAACCAGAAGATTATGAAGTCTGGTTCCATCAGTGTCTTGGAGGAAACCAATCTGACATCAATAAAAGGTAACGGTGAATAATTAAGACATTAAGCTTTATGAGTCCGTTAATATGTATTTTATTCCATGTGTACAAATAGTGTTCTTTGATACTTTAAGTACATGTCATCGATTTCTCCTTCCATTTTGCTAACTCTCTAGTTGCTATCATATTGCAGGTCTACTTTCCCTTGTTTTCTGATCATAATTTCTTAATACATGTACGTCTCTCCAGATGTATGATCCAAGCACAAACTGATTGTACGCAATAGCAACAACAGTAGGTTTAGTAACCTGACATCAAACATTTCCTGTACAATCAATAACACTGTATTATTTAATTATAATACTTTGGTACAAGGAATCATTACAGTATTTAAAATACTTTCATTTATCAACTGTAAATAGTTTGTCTATTCCAGGTATGGACAATCCTGGATTTTGATTCCATGTGTGTTTCATAAAAAAAACAACAACAGGCCCATTGGCCTTAACCATCTGACATAAAGACCTAGATATGAAAGAGGCCAAATAGACTTAAAACTGGTTTATAAAAACATTTTCTGCATATTTGAAATCATATTCTTCATACATTCACTACACAAATGTCATTACTCCATACATATTGCTTGTTTATAAAGCATGCAACAGGCCCAATATCAAGACATTTGGCCTTTATGTTACTGAGAAGTTACTTACACATTTGACCCCTGTGATCTCGAAAATAGGTCAAGGTGAAAAAACTCGGTAGCCCTTCATTTCATCAAGCTACAACCCAATATCAGCAGCTTGCCTCTTTTGGTTATTGAGAAGTTGTTGTTTGAATATATTACCATATTTTACCCCTGTGGTCTTGAAGTTATTTGAATGAAAAGTTTATGCACAACACAAGGTGCATTACAATGGATGAAAAAGGATGGCTTGGTAGTCCTTTATCCTAGCATGCTACAGGACCAATATCATTGACCTTCTGGTTATTAAAAAGAAGTCGTTTAAAGATTTTGACATATTTGACCCCTGTGACTGTGAAAGTGGGTCAAAGCCATTCATATTAACAAACTTGGTAACCCTAAATCCCATCATGCTACAAGCTCAGTATCAGCACCCTGGCCATTTTGGTTATTCAGAAGAAGTTGTATTACAATTTTACCATATTTGACTCCTATCATATTAACCCATTGGGCCTTTTGGTTATTGAGAAGAAGCTAGTTAAACATTTAAATATATTTGACATCTGTTACCTTGAAAGCAAGTCAAGGTCATTCATATTAACAAACTTGGTAGTTCTAACTCCAAGCATGCTAGAGGCCCAATATCAGCATCAGGGCCTTTCATTTATTTAGAAGAAGCCATTTGCAATGAAAGTTTATGCACAGAGCACAGTTGACAGTGGATGGCACACAACGACAGACGACACACAATGGCCATGGGTCATCCTGATCTTTCATGTCAGATAACCTAATTATGCATTTCATATCCTACAATGTCACTTGTACAAAACTTACCCTACTGAAACAGTGACCTATCATGTAAATGATACCAGCAGAAAACCGAGTCAAACAACTGGACATTCGTATTATCAGTGAGTCAGTCATCCTCAGTTTCTACAACAGGAAGAAATGTTGCCTAGTTCAATAACATATCAAAATGTAAGTATGACTTTGTAGATTCCCTTTTACAAAAACCAACTGAATAAAGCATTCTCTGTTATGATTCTATAGGATCAATCAATGAGGTTAAAAAGACTGATAAAATCTTTCACCTCTGTGTGGTGTGGAGTTAGCACAGCTTGAAGCTAATATTTTGAAAGTTTAGCACAAGGCTTAGTGTATTTATCTTTAGGAGTGGTTGAAATCATGTTTCCCATATCTTTATTTTTATGCAAGTGTTTACCACGAGAATCATTTTTAAGCTGTTGATTACATATGAAAAAACTATTATGCTTGTAGTGTATATATGCAATGTAATTGTTACCTTCAGTACTATCTGTGTCCATGACAACAGGGCGTTCTGGAACAGAATCTCCATTTCCCCACAGTAGCTGTCTGTCGTAACATCCACGTAGAAAACAATATTGCCTTCGACATCAGGAGATTTGATTGATGCTGCTGACATGTGCATCACCTACACGTTAACATTGTACCACAATCATAAATGAAGTAACTAATTTTGCCGATGAAATTGTTAAAAAATTCTATTCATATTAAATGGTACTATTATTTTATTTTACAGAAAAAGGAATAATTTAACAAACAGAGATATGACCGATGTTAAAGGAATGTAGTTAGTTTTAACTAAAATCATAGTAAAGTTGATATTCTGCATCATTTGAGTACCAAGCTATAATGTTCTACAAGATATTGTACTCAATGTAACACACTGTAAATGTGATACCATATATACCTTTGAAATGCGAGGATCTGTCAATGTATCAGTGTGTGATGGCTGGAAGTTATCTGATAACAGGACAACAGTGTAGGGCAGTCTCTCTTTTGTGACATCTGAACTCTCGCCAATGCTACCTTCGTCACATGCATGAGTGAGGCCATCCAGGACATGAGTGATAGTGGACAGTGGTAGAGTGGGAGAGCTGGTTCTGTGGTCCTGTATTAGTAGGAAATGACACCTTACAGACATCCAAACATATCTACTAGGGGCAAACACATTGCTTCTTACTCAAAGTCAGAGAACTGACTACTTGATGTAGTGGACAAGGAAACAGCATTGGTTTGTACTTAACAGCAAATTATCTTGAAGAACTTATTATTGTGCTTATTGTGCACGGGCTTATTGCTGTTTATTCATTGATTTAGTTTTTATTACATTTCTATTGCATTCCAGGACAGTAAAATATCTCACTTATGAAAAGTTAAAGAGAAAAACGAATCAGATTATGAATTCCCTGAAGCAGATAAATTTTACCAGCCCACTACGTGCTTTAACACCAGAGATAATTTTTTTTATAAATCATAACTAAGAAAAAAGCATTTCAAACAATGATATGCCATCACTCCCACTTTAATGGAGTTTGAATAAAATGGAACAAAATCATGCAGCTAAATATCCGAAACAAAAGCCTGTAATGAAGAAAATAAACGTATATTAAAGATAAAAGTTCCAAACTTCTCAAGATGTATCAACATAAAACATTACACTAATGAAGCTAAGCACAAAAATGCTAATTATCATATTGGAAAGAAATTTGAAAGAGCTCTATAAATCTGACTCAGTAATAAGAACATAGGCACCTTTGCATTTTGCATGAGTTCCTGCATTTGTTGTACGAGTTTGCCACAACAGAAGCGGGAGTTGATGAGATGGGCTACAGGCTTGCCACATAAACAATTTCCACCATCCATTTCCTCAAGGTAGGACTCAAACTACAAATGACATTATTTACCAGGAAATGAAAATAAGTAAACAAACTACCTGGTATCAACAGACTGATAAGTCTTACCAAATACCCCCCAAAATGTTAAATCAATACACATTTATACATAAAACCTTAATCAATTAAGATTTATACATAAAAAATAAATACAAAAAGATTTACGTACAGAAGATAAACCAATATATATTTGTACATAAAATATAAATCATTATACATTTATACACAAGATAGTAATAATTATACAATGAAACTTCTGAAATCTACCATACATGGGACATGAATATTTGGTTAGGTTTCTGTTTGCAAAAGTAAATGAAGTCGACCAGTCTCGACTCAGATATAACTGGTCTGATTTCATTTGTACATTACATTAACCGTTAAAGGTTTCTTTTATCCCTAACATTTCAATAAAGAAGACATCATTCCATACATTACCATTTCATTAGGTTTCGAAAGGTAATTGGTTTTGAGAAGGATCAGTTTGGGAAAGTAACATTGTAGCTAAATACACAAACAAAGAAAAATCTGAAAATGTACACAAACTATGAAATGATCCATAATCGTAAAATGCACACGAACTATCGATTGACGAATCAAGCTTCAAAAAGAATTACTTACAGGACAGACATTTGTAGTTAAACACATTTAATCTGATTCTAAGTAAAACACAAGTTACTTATTTATGATAACAACAGATCTTGGCTGATGTTAATATCTGGCACCAAAGAATTTCTAACGTTTAATCTAACCACTGATCTTCTCACGTCTTACCTGACACCAAATGATCTTTGGGGACTTCATAGCGTATCTGTCCAACTGATGAACTCTTTGTTGCCATGGTAATGCATTTGATTTATGTCTCTCTATGAAAGTACCTGAATGTCGCTTCTGGTCAAAAGGTGTTTCGTCCTTTTTAAAGCTCTGAGCAATGTAGTTCTATATAGAAAAATGAAACAGTTTTTTTAATTCAACCTTTATACTCACTTTCCTTACCATATAGCCAATTTATGATTCATTCTCTTCCAACTCATCATGACGAAACATGTGGATGTATTATGTTAGTGCCCTGTTCCACATCAGATGAAACAGCACAATCAAATAAAGATATCCTATTGTCTTCTATATTTTTACTGATGACCTTTGTTTGAAAAGGATATAAGACAAAAAAAAGTTTCAAAGAAATATTGCATTATCTTGCATGATAGTCCATTAATTCTACAAAACGAAACAAAATACCATCAAATATATTAAAATTTCTGCAAGATTCTTCCTCTGCTTTTAGCAGCAAACAGATATGTAGGCAGGGTATTATTGGCTTTTCAGCATTTTATTTCAGTTTTTTGGCTTTTATGAAATCTTCTTATTTTAATCAAGTAAAAGTTTGGAAATTAGGGTATGCTTCCTCTCTTTAAACTTACCATTCTCTTTAAACTTACCATTCTCTTCTTCCTGTGACCAATTCTACAGTTAACTGCTATTGGTTTCAAATCAAACTTGGTTACATACACCTCAGCACAGTAATCCCTCATTGTCTCTAACCACAGAACATACTGATCTGATACTGTTGGATAGTGATCCAAATTGTTGTTGATTGTCTCCCTTTGTAGTGATGTAAACATTTCACAACATGCCACATGTTCAGATATAAACGCCTCAGGAATGACGTCTCGATTGAACAACATCTGAACAGTCCCATCATGGTTTTCTAAGGACATTGAAAAGTATTTTGTTTACAAAAAAAAATGTAAAAGAACGCATATCACTTTTTTTTTTTAATAATAAAGACAACATAAGTAAACTTTGTAGACTATCAACTTATAACAAGATCTATTAAATATATACTTTTATCTTTAATGCCAATCATTCATTACCTTTGAAATTCTTATTAGTTTGTCAAAATCATTATCTCTATTTGTATTTTGATGAAAGAGAAAATATCACTTTTTTTCAACTTACGGAAATAGTCTTTGACATAATCATTGAGTCCTGCTATAGCACTGCATCCATGGAAACCTGTACAGATCACATACACTTCAGAATTTCCACTTTTACTGGTAGCCGGTTTGAAAACTTCTACCTGATAAGAAAAAAGAGGGAATACATCTTCAGGCCATGTCATATGCATCTTAGGCTTTTAAGAAACTTAAGATGTATCAAAATTTCACTTAAAAAAGAAAAAAATAAAAAAATTGTTATCTATGCTTTGATATGTATGAATCACCTTGAGACTGTACATATTTATGTATTCCACAAAAAGGATAAGACATACCTGGTAATTTAACACATGGAATGAAAATAAATAATTTAAATCAAGCTAAAGTTTGTATCAGATTTAGAAGGAGCTGTTAGATAATTAAGTGTTCACCTGATCGAATACACAGTTGAGGAGATACATAAGGCAGATTGTTTCACATTCAAACATTGTGAACTTTTTTAAGACAAGAGAACCCTTATGTGAGAGGATGGACAGTGCTGCTAGTGCCTCACAGCAGTGAAGGCGGGATACCACCGTTTCCTGGTCACCTGGTGTGTCCTGACAGTCAATACTGCCATCACATGTCACCTAGAAAATACATTTTAAAACAAAAGGCTGAAACCAGCAATAATAGATTGCAAGCACTTGGTATAAAATGGTACTTTGATAATACTTGAGGGAAACACTGCATCTTTTCTGTTCTGAAGACTACTTTTTTATTTCTTTTAAACTTTTACCTTTTGTCTAATCATGAATTAATTTCTATCACTATTTTCAAGGAATGCAATAAAATTGAAAACAAGATACATTAATAGTAACTAAAATAATGACAAATTCCATAGCCTGATTAAAATACATGTGCTTTAATTGCTTCTGGCATTTGGAAAACTTGAACCCTTCAAAATAAACAACTTTTACATTACATTTCTATTATAGTTATTCCCTATCAGACAGGACCCATGATACTCCCTACCAGATGGGCAGGACCCATGATATTCCCTACCAGACAGGACCTATGATATTCCCTATCAGACAGGACCTATGATATTCCCTACCAGACAGGACCCATGATACTCCCTACCAGATGGGCAGGACCCATGATATTCCCTACCAGACAGGACCAATGATATTCCCTACCAGACAGGACCTATGATATTCCCTACCAGACAGGACCCATGATACTCCCTACCAGATGGGCAGGACCCATGATATTCCCTACCAGACAGGACCTATGATATTCCCTACCAGTTGGGCAGGACCCATGATATTCCCTACCAGACAGGACCTATGATATTCCCTACCAGATGGGCAGGACCCATGATATTCCCTACCAGACAGGACCTATGATATTCCCTACCAGATGGGCAGGACCCATGATATTCCCTACCAGACAGGACCCATGATATTCCCTACCAGACAGGACCAATGATATTCCCTACCAGACAGGACCCATGATATTCCCTACCAGACAGGACCCATGATATTCCCTACCAGATGGACAGGACCCATGATATTCCCTACCAGATGGACAGGACCAATGATATTCCCTACCAGACAGGACCCATGATATTCCCTACCAGATGGACAGGACCAATGATATTCCCTACCAGACAGGACCCATGATATTCCCTACCAGGTGGATAGGACCTATCTCACGACAGGTAGCCATCAGTTGCTGGATATTGTCCCAGTCCATGAGATTGCCTGTGTTGTCCACTCCAAAGTCCCAGTAAGGCAAAGTATGTAAGATGAAGCGGTCATCTGCGATCATCTGGCTCACATTGTTACCCTCATAGTAAGGATTTAATGTGTTACCAAACCAGGTCCATGTGCCATTGTAATCTGAAACATGTCACATGCACCTTCAGACAAAGTTTCAATATTGATTCCAAAATCAAGAGGGCTATTTTCTTAGTTTTTAGTTAATGTGCAGCTTCATGGGCTGGTGAATTTATTTTCAGAAATGCAAGTCTGGGAACACTTTCATTATGACTTTGACCTATGACTTAGCAAACATCTGCTAATGAAAGTTATATAGACAGATTCCCTATTTAAGGTCCAGATTTGATTTTCACACAAGACAACGGACAAGTGACTCATGACAATGACACTTCAGAATCCAGAGTTCCTCTTATCCAATCACAGTGGTATTTACATGTCCTGTGTCCTTATGACTGAAATATATCAATTTGCATACTGATATGATGATAAGACATGATTCATATATCCCCTTTGGCCAAGTTAATGTGAATACAAAGTACAGAAGGCAATGAAAATCATGAGATATATCTTATTTTCATTTTAACATTGTTTGAATGTGAACATACCTTGAGATATTAAGTAATGGTTCAGACTCGTGATAAATGCACCTGGGGCCTCACAGAGATGTACTGAATTGAATTCTGGATTGTCAAAATCAGTAAGCTGAAAAGTTGACACAATTTCATAAAATTTGCACCAAGCTTGTGTACATAGTTCTGGCTTGCAACTTTCTCTTATTTCAGATATTACTGTTCCAGCTAAATTCATTTGCCCAGTATGTTGATGCCATTGGGATATGTCCTTATCACTTAGTTTGTCCTTCACAGCATTCAAGGCCAATTTCATCTGCTGGGTTTCTTTTATATGCCATGCTTCACATTCACGAATGCTTAGAGATGGTGTCTTATACCTCCTTTGGTTTGGATTTGGTGAATAGGAGAACCTTTTATGGAAAAGCCTTTCAACTCTCTTCTTAGAGGCTGGATCAGCTTGTAACGTAGATCCTCCAGAAACCTTTCTCTTCCTATGCGATATATTCATCTTTTCTACAAAGATAAAAACTCACTTTGTCATTAACGAATAAATAAATAAATTGCTTGTTCATGCACCTGTTAATTTTCAAACTAGAAAAAACAGACGATAACATGTCGGGTTTAGTTTTCCGTGTTTTTTTCATTTGTTTTGTTTTGGTTTATGCTAATAATAGGTGCTAAATGAGTTTGCTTAGTATCCACGACATGGACAGGTCATTTAAGTAGACACTACACACGTTGTACTTCTACAGTAATAGTCAAATATTATGCTACAATAACGAAACAAAGTTACGATCAAAAACATCATTACAGTTGTCATTCTTATATCTAGTATCACATTTAGTCGCTTATTTGTTTACCAACGTGCGTAATAACGCTAGAAATACCGCAATGGCAGCTTCCTCCCACAGTGAATAAAATAACATAAAAAAATAACAAGAACACGTGTTTCCGGTCAAAACAAAAACAAGAAAGCTTTCAATCGCTGAAATTACTATAAAAATCACATATTTTCATTGTCAAAATCGTAGACAATCAAGTTCAATATTGTTTCCGTTTGTTTATGCATATATCCACTGGGGCTTACCATTATTACTTATAAAACATTATTTTGTCAGAATTATACTCAAGTACGTCATCGAACGCGCCCGGTTTGCAGTGCACATCCGGGAACTTTTGATGCCGCAAGGAGACGATGTCGACGCAAGAAAATAGTAATTGTTTAATTTTGTTTCTATTACATTTCCTGAACACATAAGGATACTGGTTTAAGCAAACAAATAATACATAATATAACATTTTAAATGATACATATTTGAATGGGCGTGTATTTCGCATTGATGCACACTTGTGATTGATGTCAATGATCACCGATTCTACTCATCTATAATTGAAGTACTGAATGCGGCTTCAACATTAAGTTCATACTTCCAACCAACTTCAGCATCATCTTTATAATAAGTGGATAACATATCAATGAATTATATGTTTTCATCGGTGGGGGTGAATTTGTATCGAATCAAGTCGTTCCGGCCTCTGCCGGTTCGGCCTTCTAGTCGTTCCGGCCCCATGGCCATCTGACCCCCAAAATGTTAACAGCCAATATTGGTGACTTTGCGACTTATAAGTAATAATTAAATCTGGTAGTCTAATTAATTGCGTTTTTAAGTCCGTGGGGAAATCAATGTTCATCGTCTTATTAATTGCATCATTATTTTATCATCATCATCATCATCATTGTCATCATTTGTATTTACCACACAATCATCATCATCATTTTGGTGTTGGGAGTGGAGGCTCACAGGGTGCAAAGTTTGTAGAATAAAGAATTAAACTGTTATTCAACAAATATTCGATCAGGGAAAATAGGCAAGTAAATTTCGAAGAGTATGTATAGTTTTTAAAAATCACGATGACTGCTGAATATATCTACAACTTTGAAGTCTTAAAAACTTAACATTGTTTTTAAGAAAAATTTGTTAATTTTGGAATGAAGTTTTAATAATGAAAACGTATGATATGTATTTCTTTATTTCATATACATGTGTTTGAGTGGACTCAATACATCTTACCTAAACTACCATTAATGGAAATGTCAGATGTATGTTTTATAAGTTCCAATGAAAGATGTCTTTATGTTTTTGATATTCTTATAAATAATTGCAAAAATAAAAGGAATTTGATAATTATATCGCCTACATGTACCACAAGTCTGATGTGTTGCTTATTCACAGGTACTGCAGCATTTTGCTTCTTGTCGAGGGCACACTTTCTTCATACATTTCTTAATTTGTCCACCATGGTGAATGGGAAATGAGTTCTGATCAAAATGATCATGATATCCTTTATAACACAAATTCATCTTTTCTTTAGATTCCAATTGTCTGTTCAGCTGAAATCTTAGTTTTCTTTTTTTGGATGTACTTAAACTTTTAAAGACTTACATGTGTGATGTCATTAAAATATACATTCCTTCAATATGTGTTAGATGCGAGCCCTGAGAAGCCACCCATTTGTAACAGCATGAGATAGGACAAAGCCTACAGCAGAATGTCATTAAAGCAATTTTACATCTTCAAACAAAAAAACAAAAGGAGTGATTGTGTAAACAAATTTTATTGGGAGAAATAGGGGGCCGGAACGACTAAGAAAATGCGGTCAGACCAGGCTGGAGTCAGAACTACTCAGGTTGGATCAACAAAAGGACTTAGCTCCAAGAGGGGCAAAACGACCAGTATTCATTGTGCACACCATTCCCGTTACCAGCCCTGATACCCTTACCAGGAATGTAGGAAATAGATTTAAATATCACTTTTTTTTGTAATCAATGATTTGGTTTTTTTCAGAGAGTGAAAACTGGTACGCCACACTCAACCGTGAAATTTTCAAATATTTTGCAAATTTCAGCTATCATACAGTTTTGTTTCAGATTTTTTAAAATTCAAAACAATATTTATGCCTACCTTATTGTAAATACACCAGTTTTACCAAGAAATGAGGTGTAATTCATTTCTAATCTTGCATTTATTATGATTGTGGGTCGTTTGTTTACACTGTCACTCAGTTGACAGAGCCTGCTGCATTGGCTCAGCAAGTAGAAGCTGGGATTTTCTGATTTTTCTTTTATTTTGGTTTTTTTTTCATTTATCCACTGGATTTCATATGATTCAGTGGTCTTTTTACAAGGATAACAAGAAATTAATCGAATTGATTTCAATTAGAACTATGGATGAAATTTTAAATTTAATTCTCCATTAATTAAATTCTTTCATGTACACATGCTTCACAAGGAGGGAGCACTTGATACCTTTATTCCATTAGTAAATCATGTATATTATATTAAGGATATCATCATTTAGAAAATAGAAAAATGTGAAATCATTTTAGATTTGAACATTTCTTTATCTAAAGGCTTTACATATATCCAATTATATTGGGGTGTAATTTCTAAAACTTGTATCATTTAGTATATTATACCTTTTTGTGTCCATTAATTACTATTAACTGTTATATTGTGTGTTATTGTTACTGCTTTGTTGACATATTCAGTTTCTACTTTCATATTTTAAGCAGATGTGATTATGTCAACACATGACTTGATATGTAACATTCACTGATTTCAATTTTTACGTCTAGGTTTGGAGAAGAAAGATTGAGATCATCAGGTGACCTTTCAACTTGGAGGAGAGTGTGATATAATACAAAAATATATATCACAGTGCCACCTTGTGTTGAGATCAGGGAACAATTCCAGGTAACTGCACCAGATAAAAATAGAATAGTTCCAGTTGATTAGAGTCCAACATGGCAATTTGCAGCTGCTCATAATAGCAGATGTTGTAGAATATCTTTTCACTGGAATTACCACCATTTTCTCTGGTTCAGTAACTTTTTGTGTAATTTCATGCATATGCAGGTTGTTACATGGCAATGTTGTGAAAAATCACTTTGCTTTGAAAGATCACAGATATCGCCCATTGACACTGTGAAACTTATAGCAATTGTCTTTTTACTTGTCTAAGTTGTTCTTTCTTTCTTTTGCTTGTCATGGAAGTAAGAGGGGATAAGTTAGTCAATTACTTACAGTTCTAATTAGAGTTTTATCAATTTTGATGTGTATATGTAATTTTGACATTGACTGAAAATTTAAGTTGATTAAAACTCATTCTGAATATGCAAAGTTATGCTGAAATTGAAGAGAAGACTTTCAGAGTGTTTTCTTATGTATACTTATGATACAATTGAAAACATCTGAATACAAGATAGTTATGAAACTACCATTTCACTGGAGCATTGTCATTTGTTTTTCAAAACCTTTTCGACGAGTCAATCTAGCCATGAAAATGACTGAACCTAAAATTGCAACAGAAGCAACCAAGTGTTTTCTTAATTACATAGCATATTAATGATGTATTAAAATTCCCAATAATTCCTAAAAGGAGAAAGTGGGTAAAATATTAGCTTTTTCTAAGGCCTATCCGTATAAGGACAAGCAGTACAGTTTTGAGGGGATTGTTTTGCAATCCCCATTTGTCAAAACATCACTCGGCATGTTGATGAATGCCTGCTTATTCGTCATTGGAATGGATTTTTCTTTCTTCCATCGAAATGTCACATTGGCTGAAAGGTTGACTTAAGGTCCAGAGCATCCTCCGGTACGTCTTATATGTGTCTTTAGTAGATGGTCCATTCATATACCCATCAAACATAACAGTCACCATACCACTGTATGTTAGAATCAGTTGATGATACTTCTTCAGCAGTTGGATAGTTAGAGTTGGATTTTTGCTTTGCTGTTTCTTTGATGTCGCACTCGATCAGCAGCTGTGGAAATAATTTTCTTCTTCTCTTCCTCAGTATCTCTTGTCTTTGGCTCTTTATAAAAGTTATTCAGTATATTTGATGCCATAGACAACTTGAACATCCACTTGCTTCGGATAAAGTTATTGAGGAACCAAATGAATTTTTTAATTTGCTTTCCATATACATTGAACTATAAGCATCACTGCCACCTTCTTCCATTTTTTTCGACTAAAAATGAAGTTCCTCAGGATTTTTAACTAGAAACTTCACAACTCGTTTGAATGCTTCCTCCTGAAGATCACTAGTTGGTCGACCTTGTTGTTTTTTTCTACGTTTTATTTGGTGTGAATGCTTGAGGTATATGTCTATTTGTCCGATAGTTTACACTACATGCTTGGTGATACCATGTATAAGTGGCAGGTTGGTCACCTACACATTCTAAACACCTTCATACGTACCTCATTTGCCCAAGTATCATTTCAATCATGGCAAACTTCTGCAAGTGTAAACTTGAATTTGATTGTTCGAACAGCGAAGACACCATGACCTCTTTTTTAACCATCAAATTTTGCAGGAAGTCCACAGAACGGGCAACATTTGCGAAAACTGAACGGGCAACATTTTGTGATCAGTCTCGGTTAATGCTGTTCCTCTACGAAGTGCATTATACTTTTTAAACTTGTTGATGTTTTCTGGGTGGACATACCTTTTTCTACAATCTTCATGGACTGCGTCCCTTGGCACAAACACTATCTCCACGCTCCTTGCCAACGTTGTTGATAGCTGCACATCCTTTATTTCTAAGAATGTTTGGAGGCAGGTGGTCCTGTACTGTCTTTCGGCACTTCATAGCCCTGTAGCAAACAAGAGAAATAAAACAATTGATGAAACAAAGAAAAAAAATCAATGCTAATGGGAAAACAAGTTGTGTTAATTGATAATTGTGGAACAAGGAGTATTCGCAAAGAAGTGCAGACTTTCGGACAATAGTTTTCAATTTTATTACAATAGGTTCAGAAATGATTTGTATTTATTCAATATACAGTCAAACTTCGATAATTCGATATTCAAGGGACCGTCATAAAAATATCGATACATCGGGACTTCGATACAAAAATAGTTCAGTCAAATAGCTGGTCCACGTAATAGGGGTCCGTATTTAAAAGTTTTTTTCATTATGTTTTAGACAAAAGATAACAATTATGTGTGTATTAATGATTTAAATAAAGACTCAACAATCAAAAACAGTTAAATTGAATTTTATTACGACCAAACAACAATAAATAACATGAAACATTCGAAGTACATGGCAATGAAGTATCACACGTAAATGACGAAATGGGTAAATGTATTTTACGGAACAGAAAAATCACATGGCACGAAATTGGCACTGTCAGTTATTTAGTACTCTTAAACACTATCACCATTAGCACTAAAACACAAATAACACATTAATCAGTCACACTTAGAAACAGTTCCAAAGAACTCACTCAGGGTACACTGTTTTCTCTCGAGGAGGAAATACTGTTGGATGGAATAACTGACGTCGGCAATCTGTGAGGCGGCTGAGTCTGTATTATTCCTGATGCCCGTCTGCTGGAGAAAATCTCGGACTGTATCTAGGGCGTTCATGGCGTCATGGATGGTTTGCTTGGTCGTTGGTGATTTGACAATAATAACACTTGCCTCAATTCGGCGTGTGTATGTATCAATCTTTCTAACATAGCATATATTACTGTTCAAACTAATTATTGGTCATTGACTAATTGTATACAAGAGGTGGTAAAATGCCATTGTCCTAATCGACTGTAACGGTAAACAAAAGATTAACGCTGGAGGGTCTCGCTACAGGTGTGAATTTGTTTCGGTCGACTGACCATCGAGCACAGTGACCACAGGTAAATTTTGATCAATTTATTCATGGTGATTTTGAACGAATTTATATGACTTGTACTGTAGAAAATTATCGAAACACCGAGAATATCGAAACATAAATGATCGATTCATGAGTAGTGAGTTAAGTAGAAATATATAAGGAAAATAGTCGGGACCAAGTAAAAATATCGACACAGCGAGAATATCGAATCATCGAAGATCGATTCATCGAAGTTTGACTGTACATGCAGATTATATCATATACCTACTTACATAACACTATAACAGAACAGAACATATAACTTGTTAACTAACCTCATGTCATTCATTAAATCTTCCAGTTGTTGCATGATTGATAATGAAGAATCCAATCGTTGGAATTTTCCCGCTGTTTGTTGAATTATGACTTCATACCTTTTTTCCACCTCCTTTTTGGAACTCTTCCAATCTACAGAGGCCCATATGGGCTAAGCTTGCTAGCGGCGCAAAGGGTTTTCTAAATAATTTGAATTAACCACTTTCCCTTGAAGGGATTTATTAAGAATATTTTGAAGTTACGCACAGTTGAAGTCTAAAAACATTTAACTAAAAATTGTTTCTGTTGCAATTAGTTTTGACGTTGAAACCTAGATCGACTGGACTATTTCAAATCAATTCTTTCAGTTTTATGTACAACCCTAGTAGGCAACATCATTAATTTCAATTATACAAAATAAAATGTATTGACATATAACGATCAATGACAGTCAGTTGCTATCCTTGCATTTCATTTAAACAATTGAATTGGCAAACTTTAAATATTTCTTCAATACTGAGTGAATTTATAACTTTTAATTGTTAGTCTGATAATTTTTTAACACTGGCTGTTCTAATTTTTTTTCTATATTAAAAACAAAAATTACAATTTTACTCTATCAAAAACATCTCTGTTTGAATGATTTTTTGATATAAAAATGTATTGTTGGCTGTAAAAATTAAGATTGTTTTCTTAAATGTTAGCAGGCACATGTGCCTTGAATGATAATAGCTATGTGGTGGGAGATTTTGTTTTCATTGTCGGAACATACAATATACTCAATTGTGACAGCATGCATAGTGCTGTGATTAAATAATGTTCTATTGTGTGTGACACTTGCTGCATGTTCTGTCTGTTCAGTTCATAATTTTGTTTTGTGTAAGCTGACAATTACTTTACAATGGGTGAAAAAATTCTGATTTATTATTGATCAAATCAGTATAGTTCTGAATGATTCAAAAATATTTAAGATATAAAAAATGCATTGCAGTACAATTTGATTCAGTTGACCTATTTTTCTGTCACTTAAATAAAAAGTAAGTAAAATTTATATCAACCACTTTGATATGAGTAATTTCAAATTAGTTAGCCATGGGCAATGATTTGTTTGGAAGAAATAGGGCATTGGAACAGTTATAACATTATATTATAGAAAAAACTTGCATATTAAAGATGTACTTTTTTGACTGATAAATGTCTTAATGATGTCTAACTGATAATAGGTATGTTTAAGAATATATCACAGTAAAAAAATTGCAAAATTTAGTTGAAAGTTTATACAAATGGTTGTAAGGTGATTGTGCTTACAATGAAAGAATATTATGAAGTGATGAGATGAAACTGCAGCCAGTGTGAAGTGTTCCTGTTACAATTTCCTTGTTTTTCTGTTCAGGTTCAGCTACCTCGGAGGTGAAGTTGGGGTTGCCATCTGGCGTGTGAATCTTTCAAGAAGAGCAGGTAACTGCACCAGTGAATGTGCTCGTTCTCAACCATAGCATACATAACGCAGCATTGTATGGGCCAGTTTGTCAATGTTGTGAGGCTTGTATACATGGGAGCAGAGCTGTGCTTCACTGGCGCAGTACATTGTTTCACACATTGTAATGCTTGGGAGATATTAGGTGTATTTGCTAGAAATTTCTTCATTGTACAGTGTTACACTTTGAAATGCAGCATCTGGTGTTTATCTTTACTCTAGTGTTATGTATGATCGAAAATTTGTATCCAAAACTTGCTTAAATTTCATGCTACATTCAATCAATGTGGGTCTGTATACAACTAGTGATAAGTTACAGGATTGCAGTAATTATATGTTATTCCCAGGAGTGTGCTTCTGTAAAACATCAGCCAGTCTTAGCAGTACTTAAAGCTTACCAAATTACAGCTTCTGCTTGGTATTGTCTGTTCAGATAAATGAACAAACAACTTTTGAAATCAACAATAATGCTGGTAAATTTGAAACTCTTTATCATTGGAGATAAAGCACAGAACCCCCTTTAAATAAATTATGAAAAATATGAGAAGATTTATGCATTTGCAGAGTCTTTTGTTTGGATTAGAATTTGATTTCTGAGTCAGGATGATAAAGTATATGATTGTTGTTTTGAATGGTACATATTCATACTTCACTGAATGCAGACTGTATACACATGTGAAGTAGAATTTTTGTGGTTATGAAAAACATCAAAAGAAAAAATTTTTTATAAATCTACAATATATTTTAGATTTTGAAGATTAGTATGCTCTTTCAAAGTAAAATACTAGCTTTCTGATTTGATAAATAACTTTTTCAACTTTAAAGATAGATGGAAGGATTTGTGTTCCTACCAAGGTAATTTATTACATATCACATGTAAAAGTGTGATGACAAGTTACTACAGTATTAGACAGAATAAAATGTGTACATACCCAAGGCCAAGGTGAACATGTGAGGATTGGGATGGCAGATGTTTTGAGGTCATGGACATTATGGAGACTTGTTAAGGATAAATCTATACCATTGAGGTCAAGGTAGATTTGTTCAGGCTCAATGTGAATGACCAGACTCTTGTTATATATGAAGCTTTAAAAAATCATAATTGGAGAGTATATTGTGTTCCTTTCTCATGTCTTTACAAAGGTGAGTGTCTGACATGCCTCAAGCTTCAAACAAATCAGTTTGGCATGAAATGTTTTCTTTATTTACAGAGCATAGTAGGAGACACATTTTCTCCTTTTAAATATGTTACATAAATAATATGAAACTTTAACCTCTTTTTCAGAAATAAACTTGTACCATGGTTGGACAGAGAGGCAACCGTGGAGGTGGCCGAGGAGGAGCGTGGGGAAACGACTCGGACATGGGAGCCATGATGGGTGGCATGTTGGGAGGGACTGGGTACGGTGCGCAGGTTGACACCGGTATGTATGGTCAAGGAGGGAAGAAACGTACGTACAATGAGTCTCAAGATGGTTACTCTATGTCAAATTACTATGAGAACACTTCTTCTACATCTACTGATCCCTATTATCGTGGGATGGATCCTCCTTCATCACGATATGTAAAGACCGAGCCTACACAGCAGCCAGACCAATATGCATCCTACTATGAGAACTGGGATTCAGGCTATTACAACCAGGGTAATGATCCCCAACCTGGCTACTCTGACTACGGCGCCAATGTAAGTATTTCAGGCCTTGAACACATTTTAGAAAGTCAATTTTGGATTAATACTTGAAATCCTCTTTTAGTCAGATACAGTTGAATTTGTTGTCTCCAAAATAACTTGAGTGGAAATTCTATTTAAAGTCCCGATTTGTTTTCCTTCTGTATATTTGTAATTTCAGTTTGGATGACTAGAATTTCATTTAGTCAAAATTTTTGTCAAAACATCGGCACGTCTTCTGACAAAATTGGTCAATACATACACAGAGTAGAAAGTCACCTGTGCTTAACACATGACTAATTACAGTGTATCGGTCCATTGTACTCACAACACTTTGTCTCTGGCATAAATTACCAGTTTAGTTATCCAATTAAAGTTTGGCTTCTTAATTAGTGTCTCCATTCTGTAGCCGTGACTTACCTGAACATGTTAAATAAGTAGCGCATTTACACAAAACATGAAAACATTTAGCTTGGTCGCGTGCATCTTCAGGAATGATGAAAATGACACCGTAAAACCAGTACAAACTTTTTGATGAAATCTGATTCCCACAGTTCTGAGAGAAACTAATCTTGAGCTTGTTTACGAACAGATTGTTATCGAGCACTTTGTCTTTGTGTTTCGACAATGAAATGCTGAAAGTATCAGTGTACAATACAGATCACCTAACACCTGATATGTAAAGTCTAGTGCTTGTACAATGTTTTCTGTAATAGGTAAAAACTTTCTAGTGCCACATTTTTCATGTTTATTTATTCAAAAAGAAAGTCATATTGTTATGATCTTTAACTTCATACATCGTTTCTTGTAGTGTGTCATTCCATAAAATGTATATAATACATAAAATCTAATTGTACATGTGTGCGGGACGGAAAGACATGAGTTCAGAAGTGTTAGATGGGATTTGTTATTATATGCCTTGTTGTTCAGATGAATAAGCAACATTGTTTGTGTGCTATTGTAGCCTACTTTGTTCAACCGTAATCAATGTCAGGAAGCTGATATCTTTAACTTTATTTATGCCCTGGATTTGAGTCGAAATTCAGATAAATATTTTCCATGGTCCCTTGAATTTTGATATAACAAGTTTTGACTGTAAAGGTATAGTGATTTGGTATATTGATGAAGACTAAAAGTAGTACAGTTATAGTGTCCCCTTCTCCACATAATTGGTTGCCTCTTATGATGGAAATGATCAGCTCATCTATTGAAAGTGACTAGTCTGAATCACTATTCTTGTTTTGTTGAGTTAAAAGAACACGGTTAACTGTTGACTTGTCATATCAACTAGTGACAAGTTTACTTTGCAGTAGAGATCTGACTTTATAATTTGATGGTTTAAAGTTACTTTGAGCAACAATTACCTGACAGTTAGATATAGACACTGACCTGTCTGTTCAGAATTCCCAGCAGCAGCCCGGAGGGTACAACCAGTCCTCAGACTTCTCACAAGACGTTGACTTCCCCCCTAACAATGGATCCAACTTCAACAAGGTGTATAACAAGAACCAACAGAACTGGAACAAACGAGGTGGAGCTCGTGGAGGTAGAGGGCAGCAGCAACAGCAGCAGTCATGGGGGCGAGGTCAGGGGATGCGTGGTGGCCGAGGAAATAACCGTGGAAATCAAGGTGGCATGATGGGTAAGGCATCATAAAGAAGAGGGAGTTTTCATCACAATGGCTCAGGATGGTCTATAGTCATCGTGTTTCGTCTGTTGTCATGCACCATACATGGTCTTGATTCATAAACTTTCCATTCAAATGGCTTCTTTGCAATAACCAGAAGGCCTAAGGTACCTAGGGTGCCTGTAGCATGCTGGGATGAAGGGTTACCAAATTTATTCATATTATTGATTTTGACCTACTTTCAAGGTCAAAGTTGTCCAACTCTTTAAATGACTTCTCAATAACAAAATGATCCAGGGTGCTGATATTGGGTCAGTAGCATGCTGGGATTAATGGACAAAGACACTATTTTTTCCACATTCTTCTAGAACTTAACCTAGGTTTTATCTCCATGAGGGAAACTAGATCACCAGGGTGGTCAGGTGGCGCAGTGGTAACGCACTCGCCTTTCACCTAGCCGACTGGGGTTTGATTCCTGGAATGGACGTGAAAAGGTAAGGGGTCACCTGCCCGACCACATGGGTTTTCCCCATGTATGAGATAATAGCGTGGGATGCTCAGTTTACATTTACATTACATGTACAATGTAGTTTAAGTTGTCATGCTTTATTAACAAGATTATTTCTATGACGCGCGCTTACATCCGGGCCAACAACTTGTTTCGCAATTGTTGTAAAATAAATAAAGTTTATATTTTTACCAGTTTGAAACTTGCTGAATATAAATTGTGTAACTTGTAACTTTTGGAAATACTTACAGTAGCTTGCATACAGATTGTTTAACATGTATTGGTATTTGTTTTTTAGATGCATCTTATTATTTTATAGCCACAAAGGAAATACTTATCAAAAGTTGATGGATGTATTTGCACATTAAAACAACATAAACAAAAATCAGATTGTAACATCAGAACATTTCTTCAATGTCTACATTCTGTTATTTGGGATATTAATATTTGAATATCAATGAAATCAGCTAGGAAAAAAATAAACATATTGGAAGTATTAAAACCTTATATTTTTCATTCAATGTTTTGATTCAGGTAAAAGAGGCCAGCAAAAGCCTGGTTTCCCGCCTCAGAGAGCATTCTCTGGTCCCATGCGTGGTAACAAGCGGGGACGTGGGGGTAAAGGTGGTAATGCCATGGTACCACCTATTCATAGTTTGGCCAAAGTTTCTGTCCCTGATGTCACAAAGATGTCCATCGCTGAGAAAATTAGGAGGTTTTGTCTCTACCTGCAGGCAGAAACCAATAAGGTCAATTCAATACAAACAATAGAGAATGCACTGACAGGGAGTAAGCTGGGTCTGAAGACTCAGTATGAGGTAAGATGGAGATGTCCTTGCTGAAACCACATCAGATTAAGAAGATGTGATTCACACAGAAATATATAGAAGGAGTAGCTTTGAATTCATGTCCATAAAATTAGATATTGTGTATGATAAAGGTTGTATTGCCAATCACCTAACAATTTGTCCAGTTTTCTTTCAATTTTCTGCTTATCCTGGTCTTTGTCATTATGCTATGACAACTGTTTACAAAAGAAAAGGCTGAGAGAAAATGCCTGCCTGAATATTCCTTAGTATTTTCAAATTGTATTTGGCTTGCTCTTCCTAATTGTTGGAAATTTGCTTATCTCCCCTTGCTCATACCTGATATATTCACCAATTTAGCCAGCAAGATAATATAGAACTTAAGCTTAAAACAGACAACGTTTTTCTGTTTAAAGTACAATATTCAGAAAATTTCAAGCTTAAAACAGACATTGTTTTTCTGTTTAAAGTACAACATTCAGAAAATTTCAAGCTTAAAACAGACATTGTTTTTCTGTTTAAAGTACAACATTCAGAAAATTTCAAGATTATTGATTCTTTTAGTCCATGCCTATGAAGAACATTATGAAGATTTCACGATCATTTCTTCTATGTACAGGTAGAGGAGTTAATGCGTGTTGCTGGGCGTTGGATGTACACTGGTTACCTCAAACTGGACGGCATCTTTCTAACGCGATCAGTGGGGGCGAACAAAAAGGAAGTCAAACATGATGTTTACACGAAAGGTCTTGACCTCCTCAAATCAAAGACAGTGGCTGAAATATTTGCTCTAAAGGATCCAGGGGTGGAAGCAATCAGGTCTGGTTTTAATATTTTAAATATTTTTTTCCTTGTCTTTTTCTGCTCAAGAGTTGATGCAAACCCTGCACTTTTAAAATAGATCACTGATTGATTAGTGAGTGTAGTATGTAAAGCCAGTAATGTTTTGTTGAAATATAAACTTTAATCTTTGTAGCAGGTGATGTTGAAAAGAATTCTCACCGAAGCTGCATAACTTGGTATCAAAATTATGAAATCTCAGAGTTAGAATACTGTTTTTAACCTGGAAAGTGTAATGAATCACTATGCCACCATGTTTTGATCTTAGTACTTAATCATTTAGTGGGAAATATGGTGTTTCAGACAAATTGTTGCTTAAGTTGATACTACCTTGAGGCTACCGTAACTATGTTGCACACTCCTGAATATATGCTGCCATATTAAAGAAATTAAAGAATTACATCACCAGTACAATCTTTGGGAAAAGTCTTCAAACCAAGCCTGTATTTCCAATGTAGATGTAGACTTTTTTCTATGTAAATAAAAATTTATCAAGAAAAAGTGATCGTGCATTGTGTGTTTTAAAATGATCGGCACACAAGTATTGTTTTGCGATAAATTACATATCTGTTTATGGTAATTAATAGAGCTGAGCTGACCAGCAGTTTGGAAGTGAAGAAGGATAGTATTGGGAAGACGGAGTCTATACAGGTGGCCAAACAGGCTATGGAGGAGATGACTAACACATTCAGCAGTAAGCATGATGGCTTTGATAAGTTGATGACATACCTGCGTCAGAGCAACAACCTGCCCGAGTCCCAGATCTCCTGCATAGAGCAAGGTATCTCTGCATCTCATTGTGGACTCACACACACATTTGATGGCCAGATGGTGAGGCTTCCCACTGGTAAACTTTTCTTCAGGGGCTCATTAACCATTGCTGAGGTTGTTGTTGCAGTTGGAACTGGCTACAAGAAAAAGGAGGCCAAGGTATTTTCTATATGCTTGTTTGTTATTAAGTTTTAAAAGTCATAATCATTGAAAAAAGGAGCCTCTGCTAAATCTCTTATTCAAGATCAGTTACTACTAAAATTTGACAAAATCAGTACTTGCAGTAAAGTTTTTGATACATATGAAATTTTTTTCATTTTTAAACGGACATATTGATGAAAGATTCTGAATTATGGAAGTATGGAAAGTTACAGACTGGAAATAAATCTTCAAATTCCATTCAAATAGGTAGATATTATGTTGACTTACGTTTATGATGAGATATTCTTGGTGCTGAAACTCATTGTTCTCAACATTATTGCCAAACCATGAAAACAAGATATGAGCAGATTTCAGAAAATTAATTATTTTCGCGGTAGAAAGATTAACATAAAATTAACTGTCCTGTGGTATTACCTTAGGTATACAGGGCAAGCAAAATGTTGTCAATTAGTTGGCCAATCAGATGCCTGATTGATGGGGGTCACATGGGGTACTGGGATATACAGGTGTGATAGATTTGGTATTCATTCCGGCAATGGATTTAAGATGTAACTTGACAAACTTTCAGGTATGAATTTTAACTGACTATTTTAGGAGCATGTGATAACATTACACAGTATGCTGTATTAGATAAACCATTGTTTTATAATTATGAATAGGTGGGTAGAAATCTTAGCATTATTTCTGGAAACCTGAAACAGAAGGGCTGGTGCTTCTCCTCCCACTCTTTATTAGGAGCTTTGATGACTCTCTTTGTTTCCATGTTTGGCAAACTTTAGGAGACTTAAAACACATATATGACTGGAGAGTGGGAGTTGTATTGTTAACCATGTTCAAAAAATAGAAATGATATTAAATGCCTGCTCTGCTGCCCACTCGGGTCACATGCATTTGGTGGGTATGTTCTTATTCGATAGGATATTGTAGAATTATGTAGAGGACAAGCTCTATTTGTACTGTTATGTGGTATCCACAGGAGTATTTTACCTTGATATGATGTCTAAGCTTTAAACCACAAAAGAAAATAGTCAGGAACATATATTATAGAGTATTGTAAAATTGATACAGGTCAGTGATGACAGTTTCGGAAATGATAGTTACAAATAATGAATTTTTTATGTCTCTCTCTCTGTTTCAAGTAGGAAATAGTTTAGAAATGGTTGATATCCAGATGCTAAACCAGGGACTGAAGAAACAAACATTCATGTTGATTTAAATTCAAGAGTCTTTTTTGCAAATAATAAATGGAAAAGAAATAATGTTGTGTATTGCATTGAGCTGAATGCCCTTTAAGTAGAAAATTTCTCTGGTTAAGTAAGACATCATTTGATAGAAAGTGCTACTGTCTGTTATCAGGTACAGACTTATGAAAAAGCTTTGGAGGCTTTGAGGACCAAGACGATCCCCCAAATCCTGAAGAGTGTACCTGAGGCAGAGACAGTGACTGGAGCCGTCCAGGAGAAAGTGCCAGCAGTTCCAGAGAAAGATCGCAGTAGTCAGACTCTACTGGAAAAGATGACAGAGATAACGCAACTCATAAAGGAGGCACAGTTCCGGGACAACAACATCAATTACCTGGATGTTACAGCCATTCACTTGGGCTTTACTCCCACTTGTATTTACAGGTGTGTTTCATAGTACCTAAAACATCAGTTTTCTGTCGGTGACATACTCTCTCTAAGAGATGTTTTACATCATTGTAAGAGGTTAAGTAAATATAGGACATTTGATGGATTTTCAATGATAAATTAATTTCACTAGTGAGGGGAATACTTTGGTATCTTTCTCTTTCACAAGTTTGAAATTGGAGAACTATGTTATACATCTAGTGTACCTATGATTAACATTGAAAGATTTCATAGTATCATAGTTTTTAGTTCTGAGTGTATCTGCCAATAAACCAGCAATAAATCCAAATGTGCAGTTCTGAAAAAAAAAATGAAGAAAAAAAAGCAAACAAAGGCTAAATCCATGATTATGCAATATCAAAATCCACCCTGACAGTTTGATGTTTTGATCCTTTGTCTTTTTTTAGGATAAATATTGTCAAGTATCTTACATTTTATCAATAGTCTCCTTTACAGAACCTTAACATTTTGTTGTAGAAAACTTGAGTCTGATGGTAACAAGTCAATGATCTCCTGTGAGTTGTATCTGGATAACATACTGATAGCTACAGGAGAGGCGGAGCGCCGTAAGGAGGCCCAGGTAGAGACCTATAATAGTGCATGGGATGTTTTGTGTACAACAGCACCTGACTACATCTTAAAGGAACACAAGCGCCTCAAGGCTGGTGACCAGGATGATCCAAGTGTGATGGACGTGTGGGTCAAAGGCTCCGGTAAACCAAATGCTAACACCAACATGCCAGGTCTCAAACGCAACAAGATGGATCCAAATGAGGCTTGGAAAACTGTAGATGTGATTGTTTTGATGGAGCATGAGGATTGGAGCTTTGATCGACAGAGGCAAGCCTTCTGTATACTGAATTACAGCTCCACCTTCAATGGCATGCTTCTCCAGTGGCAGACGGAGCATGATGGCAACATGTTCAAGTAAGTCTCTGTCATAGATCTATGTTATCTCAATTCAACATTTCTTAGTAGTATTTTATGCTCTAATTACAATGTTCTCTGCTGTAGATTGTACATTGAAAAGGTTATACACAAAATACTCTGCTTTCAGGTCAACAATAAATCTACAACAGAAAACAATAGGGGAGGCCTCAGCTCTTGGGAAAAATACGTCCAGGAACCTTGCCGCTGCATGTGCTCTCTTCAAATTATATGAAACACAAAATGTCATTAGGGTAGGTTTTCCTACAGCATCTTTGTATACTATTTTCATTGCTATACTAAATATAATAAACACATGTTTTTAATGTTGATTTCGATTTACCTTTTGTACTTGATATGGTAAAGATAGATGTTCTCATCCATACTTCAGGGTAATGGAATTTGTTTGTCCCTAACTGAATAACTGTAATGCTTCATGGATCATACTTAAAACAAAATAACAGTTTTCCTATACATTTCGTGTATGAAACAAATATTATATGGAGAATGATGATGTTGATTGATATAATATTTTTACAGATTTCACGTCGAGATGATACAAAGTTATGGGTGGAGTATTCCGAGATTAAGAAAAGGGCAGAAGCATTGAGAGTGGCAAATGGAGCACCAAAGGAAGATGAGGTAGCTGGTACCACATCAGGGGAAGGAGAGGAAAAGCCGTCTGTACCTGCCAACAAGTGGGTCATCCAGGTGGCTGAACAAATGATCAAGCAACACACAGAAAAACAGACACTTGATGAACTTATCTTTGGTCCAGGTCAGTATTATGGGACCAGGTGAATTGAAGAACAGAGATGAGGGGCACCACATTGACTGATATTGATGTTTATAACCCTGTCTTCTTGACATGCAATCAGTAATGAAATAAGTATTGCCCTTTGTTCTTAAATTTGTATAATAGAGATGACATGTCTTTATACATGAGCACATGGTCTTATTCTCCTTATACTTTTTCAGAAGTCTCTCTGTAAATCTTTTTTTTCATATTTTGCTTTACTTTTGAGTTTGGATTATGATTGTGTTGACATGTTGGTATTTTCCTGTTGTTTTTTAAAGTGACCACAGGGTACATTTATTGTTGACATATCTATCAATCCAATCAATATAAGTTATAAAGAAAGTTTTAGAAACTATAGAAAACACCAGACCTTACAATATACCGCTGCAGTTAGGAATTGTGTGAAAGGTCCGTTCTTGATTCTCCAAAGTCAGATTGTTAAGGTGTGATAGACTTGTTTCTCACATGATTAAATTTCGTTGTATAATTTATCAGGATTTAGATAAATTGTTTTTAATTAGCTTCACATATTTTATTTTTGACAGGTATGCCATTCAGTGAAAGTAAGGAAGTACGACAGATAGCACGGGACTTGGATCTAAAGCATGACATCCGCCAACAAGAAGGTCAATCCTACCTCATCATACACAAGAGGATGACTCCACAGGAGATGGTTAAGATTCTACAGAATAACAGCTCTCAGAGTGGCAAATACTCTCTAGTAGAGAGGAGTACTTTGCCATCCTATCAGGACCTCCTGCCAGAGATAGAAAAACATGAAGCCATGAGGAATACAGCCAACACTGAGGCTCCTGGCAAGAAGAAAATTAAAAAAGAAAATGTAACATATGATGAAACGAATTCATGAACAAAAACTTCAATATTTTCAGAAAAGTCACCTTTCATTTGTATTCCATCTTGCTTAAATGACAAATAACACACCTGCGTCAACGGTCTGCATTTTCCTATAAAACCTTGTAACTGTAGGATCCGCTATACTTTTGTACTGCTGTTGACTTGAAATGAAGTGTTTTAAGGTACAAAAGAAGGAAAGAACACGTGGATCAACTCCTCAACCTCATGGTTGAATGATTTTGAGAATCTCAAGTAGTCAGCAGTATTCTCCAGTATTATTTTATAGGCCAGTTTAGGGGCCAGGATTTAATGGAAAAATTGTTGGAAATTATCTGGAATAGTACTATGTATATTTGAAGGTCTTTAAATTATTGATCATGTTGTCATTTTGAAGTTTTGATGCTTAATTCTTTGACTGTATTTGTCCAACTAGTTCTTTTCCATCTTGTGGTTGTTACCCTGATACGATATTGTTTGTAATTTTACTTTCAAACCATTAAAAGTATATATAGTTCTCTCTGGGTTAAGGCCAAAATTACCCTGAGATCTTGCTTTGGCTGTAAATTTCAGCTTTTTTGTTTCTAAATTGATGGAACAAGAAGTGTGCAGTTTGCTAACATGGGGAACTGTCAATGTCTAAAAAAAAAAAAAAAAAACTTCAGTGATAAGATACGAAAGGTAGAAAAAGAAAGTTCAATGAAATCAGGATGAACAAATTAAGACATACAAAAAAAAATACTGTGATGACTTATTTTTAACTTTTAGTGTCCGATAGAAACAGGAATTCCAATACATTGATATTGGGAATATGTTTTAATAGCAGTTTTATTGTGATGAAGAACCTTTGTAAGATATATTATGATGAAGAACCTTTGTTAGATAGTCAATGTATTGTCACATTATCGTTTATTTTCTAATGCTACACACAGCTTGTCATGAATAAATTATGTTGTCAAAATTGTTTGTAAATGCATTGATACAAGGATAATAAATGAATTCTTGATCTTATGTTTTGTATTTATCATTAGCATTATTCCTATCATCTGTCAGTAAGAGTCTGCTGAGTATATTCCATCTTTAATTGTTGTCAGGAAGAATACCAGTAGTTTTGTCCATATCTTTATCCATATCAACTTAAATGGTTGGATTGATGAATTGTGCTCCCACTAGCCATGTATTTTAAGTTTTCTTTTTTAATTTCATACTGAAATGCAGTATAGGACATGCTTTTTTTCATACTGAATGATTTGAAATAGCAACTTATCTAAATTGTCAAAGTAATAATCTTACCAAAATCCAGCTGGTCCAGCAAAAATTTCAAAAATGTACTTTGTTGTGTATTATTGATTGGAGTTGACAAACATTAGAAGAAAAATACACAACTTATAAGTTTATGGAAAAAAATACAAATCAATTACGTAAAATTCTAGAACTCAAGTTTGGAGTAAATAGGTTTTCCTATGTTAGTGATTTACCACAGGACCCTTTATACAGCAGGTACGACTGATGCTGATATATTGGAAGAATAGCTTGTTGACTGTCTGACATAAACTGAGGTTGTATAGTCAGGTTGCCCAAGATCTTTACAGACTTACAAGGGAACACATGTGTCACACTATCCTTGACAAATGTCTATAAACATGTGGAGGATTACCTGTTTAAATAAGATTTGTGAAGTGTTCCCTTAATTTGAGTTAATTTGAAGTTCTGGTCATGTGTGATTGGAATTAGAATTATGACTTTTTGGATGTTATATACAATGTTCTGCCAGAGGAGGTTTATCATTGTATAAGGAGGAAACATAGATGATGGCCATCAGAAAAGTATCTAGGGTAGATTTATCATATATATAGAGGGGAAACATGTATATCTGCCCATTTTAAAATTACTCTTACACATACCGTCCCTCCTTTAAGCGAAGAAGTCAACATTACAGCTGTGACCTACATGCTTTTTAGCTTACCTGGCCTGAAGGGCCAAGTGAGCTAAAGGAATACTGTGGTGTCTGTCAACTTTTTCTACAAAATGCTACAAGTCGTGAACAGCTGAGGGGATTTTGAACAAATTTTCCTCAGGGGAATGTGAACATATTTTGAACAAATGTGTCCCGGCACCCCAGGGCCTGAGGTACGAGTCCCAGTAAGGGAAATCGAGCAAAATCTTTCTAAATTCTACTCCTCCTAGGGATGACTGTGATTTGGCCAGAAGCATTTCTCGGTGAAGAGAATCAATTTGTGTAAACGGTGGATCTTTGCCCCCTGGGGCAAAAGCGGTGGGGCCCAATAGGGGAAATAGAGCAAATTCTTAAGGGGCATAGCCCAATAGAAGAAACAGACCAAATTCTTTAAAATCCTACTTCTGTAGAAATGAGTGGGTTTTGCCCAAATTTAGTCAGAAGCATCTTTGAGTGAAGAGAAATCAATTTTGTATATATGGTGGATCTCTATCTTCTAGGGCAGGAGAGGAGGGGCTCAATAGGGGAGATGTGTTTGAAAACAGTTTACATCCTCATAATAATAATATATTTATAATATTTCACAACAATTGCGAACCAAGTATTTCCAACTTATATTAATCACTCTTGTTTGCTCGGATGGAAGTGTGCGAGGGTTTTTAGTATGGGAGGAAACCCGGAGTAATCGGGGAAAATCCACGTGGTCGGGAAGGTGACCCCATACCTTTTCACATCCATTCTGGGAATCGAACCCCGGATGGCTAGGTGAAAGGCAAGTGTGTTACCACTGCACCACCCGACCACCCCTCATCCTCATCCCATAACCATGTATAGCATTGCTTGCCATAAAGAGATAAACACGATGATGTAAGAATTGACTCTTCGGTCTGGACTCATCCCCAGGGACTTAGTTTCTTTGTTATATCTTTGAAACAGATTAGATAACCACCCTTTAACCATTTATAGCAATGATGTTAGAACTGAGCTTGGGCATGGCCCCACCCCTCTGGACTTACTTTCTGTGTGATATCTTAGAAATGGTTCAAATCCCCACCCCATAATCAGAATTGCTTGGCATCAAAAGATAAACACACTTGTAATGTAAGAATTGACCATGCACACCATAATCAGATAAACTCTTACTGGGAATTAAAAGAGAGAAACTTATGATATTAGAATTTAACCATTAGTCTTGCCCCATCAAAGAGGTTGAGTGTCAGATTTCATTTGGAAATATTTGAAATACCCAACCTATAGGCATGCTTGACTATAAGATCCAGGTGAGTGATACATGCCCTATAGGCCTCTTGTTTTTGTACACATTCTATAAAGTCGGACACTTTCTGCTATATGTGACACAAAAAATGAAAAGTATGAGATAGGGTGACGAATGTCTTTTCATTCTGTTTTGTATCTTGAGCCAAAGACCGATTCCTATGGATGTTGAGCTAAGACTTTTATAATTGTTATAAATAAACTGCCTGTAGTTTTACGGAAAGGATTTAAGGTTTCTAAGATGATGGATCCTGAACCGTTTATTTCTGGGTAATTATCAAAGGGGAACTGTCTGGTTTTTAGCCTTTTACATAAAGTGTAAAGGGAAGTACAGATGCTATTTTTGTGGTTTGGTAGAGTCCTGAAGTGTTGCTTTTGTTAATGTAGTGATGACAGTGAACTCCAACTTCTGGTCTTCATGTTTACTTTAGAATGTATATATACATATATTTACAAAGTACATTCATTTATTTACAAATAACATTGTAGTAACATAGTTCAGGCAAAAGCCCGAGTGAGCTGGCATCCTGTCAGTGGAGACTAGCTCCTCTCCTCCGTCTCTCCAGTGTGACCTCCCCTCTTCAGTAGATCAAGAGGGGTCCATTTTTACCAGGCATTTGACACATAGGTAAAGTGTGGCAACCTAAGTAGTAATCCGGTTGTAAGATGATATAATTATTGGTTTTTACTTAAATAACCAATGTATGCATACTTTGATAGTACACATCTCAGGCATATGACCATGTAAATATAATATTTCAAATTTTCGAAAAAGGTTTTATCTAAAATAAATGATATAAAAATATTTATATTTCAAAGCATAGAAAAACATTATTTGAAAAGAGATGGGCAAAATTATCGGTATTGTAACCTTCCAGTTCTTGTAATGGCGAGACATACATACATGTCATACATGTAGAATGCGAGACACACATACATATCGTACATGTGGAATGCGAGACATACATACATGTCGTACATGTGGAATGCGAGACACACATACATGTCGTACATGAGGAATGCGAGACATACATACATGTCGTACATGTGGAATGCGAGACATACATACATGTCGTACATGAAGAATGCGAGACATACATACATGTCGTACATGAATGCGAGACATACATACATGTCGTACATGTAGAATGCGAGACATACATACATGTCGTACATGTAGAATGCGAGACATACATACATGTCGTACATGTGGAATGCGAGACATACATACATGTCGTACATGTGGAATGCGAGACATACATACATGTCGTACATGAAGAATGCGAGACATACATACATGTCGTACATGAATGCGAGACATACATACATGTCGTACATGTAGAATGCGAGACACACATACATGTCGTACATGTGGAATGCGAGACATACATACATGTCGTACATGTGGAATGCGAGACATACATACATGTCGTACATGTGGAATGCGAGACATACATACATGTCGTACATGTAGAATGCGAGACATACATACATGTCGTACATGTAGAATGCGAGACATACATACATGTCGTACATGTAGAATGATATGTATTAAGATTTTTATTATTAGAACTATTTTCCAACAGATTTAACTAACATGGAATGGAAACGAATATTAAATATCAAAAATAAATATCAAGTACATGTACATCGATGAACTATGCTCAAAATCCGAATTATATGCTGTTGTTGCTCTTTTTTCATCTTTTTCCTTTTCGATCTTTTTGTCAACATTCATAACATTATAAAAATGTTTTGCAAAATTTCCAATTGGACTAAACACTGTTCTTGATGATTTTTATTGTTATCAGTTTTGCCCGTATTTGAAAAAAAGGATGAAAAACGGTGAAAAATTCGGACAAGATCTCAGTGGTTGCATCTAGTATATGCCTCTCGTCCACTCCAACTATATCACACAACCATTGCCATGTCAAACTGTCTTGATGTTTAAAACACTTTTCAGTGACTCCAAGAAAAACATGATTTCTTGTTGATGGTCCAGTGTACCCCGACACTGTTGTTGGAGAGATGACGTTCCGCTCCATTTGGGAAAGTTACCCATGGAAGGATGGGAAACAACTGGGAATATCAAATTCAGGATGTTCCGAAATGGACAAACACTTTTGACCTTTTCGGTTGATTGGTCATAAACAGTGCAGCCATCTGTTTGGCAGGAAGATAATGATTGACACCAGTGATTTGTATCACACTATTGGTACATCACCATCATCAAACGACTGCACGAATTCCTTTAACCTTTCTTCTTCAACTTTTTGGAGGCGGAGCTTTTTTATGTCTTTAAGTTTGATTGGTCTCCTAGAAACAGGACCATTGTTCCGATGTTTTTTAACACATTCTGTAATTTTTGCGATGATAAGGTCTGTATGTAGTCGAGTATTGAACTCTGTCAGCTGTGTAAGACGATCAAAAGCTTGATGAGTATATTTGAAGTTGAATGTTGAATATGGTCTCTCAGGATCGTCAAAAATCTCAAAGTCGGCAAATTTCTTTTCCTCCTCTGTAGTACGAGGCACACCTGAAAATAACCCACATGGAAAATCATGGTAAAATTGGTACTTATATGAACAATGATACAGATGTGTGATTTTTTAAAATTTTAGATAAGCATTTGAAACAGAGATTTGATCATTTAAGCTATAAAGGTTTAGTATTAGAAAAAGATCTGGAGATATTAGATATTCTGTACAGGTAGTATTTTTTCTGTAATTCATATTTTCATTTCTTTTACCAAAAGCTTGAGAAAAAGGGATGTCTTGAAATGGATAGTTTCCTTTATAAATTTGTTTTTCAGGGTATATATTGTGTTTTTACTCTCACCTTGAAAATGGTGACAAATAAAACAAATTGACAATAGCAATCTTTTCTATAACTATGTCATATGAACTGACCTGGCATTTTCTCGTCTCTGAAGGTGATATTGGCCAAAACAAAGTGGAGAACAATGGGACAGCGTGGGTCGTTATGGTTCTGGAACACATAACACTCTTTCATTCCCTCGCGGTCAAACCTCTTCAGGTCAATTTCAGGAAATGGCACATTATTCAGTCGTGCCCACTTCTCTGCAAGCTTGATCTCCTAAAACAATGAGAAACAAGGTTTTCAACATGTTGTTAAAAAGTATGTGTATGTCAGGGTTCCAGTTGGTGAATTTCCTTACTATCTTCAAGACAGTGAACATATAGCTAACTTATCATGCTCCAATTAAAAGGTTTATTTTCCTCATTAATACTTTTTACTGACATCGGGGAAACTTCTGCCTATATTTCAAAGCAGTTGCATGTTTTAAGATCTGCTGGATATATTTAAGTCCCTCAAACCATTCATCACTTTAGTGAAAAGATATTTGTACAGAATCAAAAAAATTATCCAAAGCTGTTATTGATACAGCAAATTTATGCCGATTTCAGATATTCTGTTTATGGTATATAGAGATATCTTTACCTTGAAGGGAGGTGTGCTGTCACTCTGCCGGGCACTGAAATCAAAGGACAGAAGAAGGTCGACCTGTCGCTGCGGACGAAGCAGGAGGGGGAAGGGCGAGTTGAAGGTCAGTCCACCATCCACTACATATAACTTCTTCATGTTTGTTGGGTACATCTCAAATATACCATCAAACTGATCCATACCTTTCAACCAGATCAAAAGTGTGTGTAGATAAATGTAGAAAATTGGATTTTGATTGAAGAACTTAAGATATGACTACAGACAAAGTTAAAAAAAGTAAGGTAAATTTCTCATTGACTTGATTATAGTGTCATTTTATACAAATGGTTATGTTTCACATTTATTTCTGTCTAATTTAACCATTGTTACACCAAAGTATACATGTATTTAAAAAGTAAACATTGTTAGTCAAACCTGTCTATAAAGGCCACTCAAGGGAGCTTAGAAATGTGACCTTTATATAGAGGTTCATTTACATCCTTGAATGAATTATATTCATAGGGACAATGTAGCCATTATAGACAGGTGCTCTTAATATAGAGATGGTATTTACAGACAGGTGGTTTTTATATAGATATACAGAGATGGCATTTACGGACTAAAAGGTGGTCTTTATACAGAGATAGCATTTACAGACAGGTGGTCTTTATACAGAGATGGTATTTACAGACAGGAAGTCTTAATACAGAGATGGCATTTACAGACAGGTGACCTTTATATAGAGATGACATTTACAGACAGGTGGTCTTTATACAGAGATGGTATTTACAGACAGATGACCTTTACATAGACATGACCTTTGAGACAGGGTTGAGCCAAGAATGATTGATACAAATGAAAATTCATGAATCAGACTTTCCACACTGATTTTCTTGCATTCTATCTGTTGAATTCTTGGCTATTTAATTAAACTGTTGATTGAAAAATAAGAAGTCATCCATGAAAGCAGGAAATTTCTGAGTCTATTGTTATTTAGACGTTTACCTTCTGCTCCCTCATCGATAGAAGTGAACGGAGAGAAGGGATAGACTTTGTACAAGGACAGTCCCCTCATGAAGCTGTGTACTTTGGCAGCTCGTCCCTCAATGGAACCCAGTAAGTAATTGCCAGTGCTATCTAACACCTTGCCAAACATACTCCTGATGAAGCCTTTGTTACTGTCTGTATCTTTCATGCTATTTATGCTTGCTGTAGACCCTCTCCTGCTGTTTACACTGGTTACAGAACTCTTACGACGACCTTTCTGTTGTATCTGTTTGCGTTTTCTTTCCTCTTCCTCTGCCTCTGTTTCACTTGATTCACTTTCTTCATCTGTTTGTGTGTCAAGCTCCTGAAGAAGTTCTCTTTCTGACAACAGGAGGTTACACATTAATGATTCTGTGAATGGTTTCAAGTATTTACAGCATATACAAGTTGGCAACACTGTCATTGACACACTCTTTCAATTGACTATAGTTATTTACACTGAAATGATATTTATTATGTATTTCTCTTTACATAGATCTGCTGAAAATAGATATGAAGGATACCTACCAAGTTCTTCACGTTCTTCCTGAATTATGCGACACTCATCTGTACGTTTATCATCTTTAAGGAGGCGTTTGAATTGGATGCAGAAGGCACTTCCCCACACACCTGTAACACACAACTATCGTGAGTCAGCCAAACATTTACCACCATATAAGGCCATATACTGTAGGTCATTTACTAAGGTCATGTGCTATAGATAAAGTACCATAAAGGTAGGGGCCGAGATAGTTTAGTCATTAAATTCAACAACGTGTATAAGGAAATTCTCTAATGATGTCCGAAAAATGTTCTTCATCTTAAATGAGTTGCTTGTTGATTTTTTTTTAAAAATGCATGATGATGAATTTGGTTAACTACTGACAACTTACCTTGAAGGAAGTGCAGAGGTTGTTCAGGGTATTGCTTCACCAACTGACCCATAAAGAATTTACTTCCAAAGTGCTCTGACTTCATGAATGTCCCATACTTTGGTAATCCAATTTCAAAGGGAGTAAATTCCATCCATTCTGTAGAAAAAAAAGATATTCTATGGCTATCAATCACTGTATTATTCAGGTAGTAAAAATTTGAGCTTCTTAGTACTTACTTCTATTTAACAAAGTATAAAAATAGAAGTTGGAGATTATCCACTAGAAGTAGGGGAGATCATCCACTACAAGTGACAGATCATCCACTAGTAGTGGGAGATCATCCACGAGAAGTGAGAGACCATCCACTAGAGGTGAGAGATCATCCACTAGAAGTGAGAGATCATCCACTAGAAGTAGGGGAGATCATCCACTAGAAGTGAGAGACCATCCACTAGAAGTTAGAGATCATCCACTAGAAGTTAGAGATCATCCACTAGAAGTGAGAGATCATCCACTAGAAGTGAGAGATCATCCACTAGATGTAGGGGAGATCATCCACTAGAAGTGGGAGATCATCCACTAGAAGTAGGGGAGATCATCCACTAGAAGTAGGGGAGATCATCCACTAGAAGTAGGGGAGATCATCCACTAGAAGTAGGGGAGATCATCCACTAGAAGTGAGAGATCATCCACTAGAAGTGGGGGATCATCCACTAGAAGTGAGAGATCATCCACTAGAAGTGAGAGATCATCCACTAGAAGTGAGAGATCATCCACTAGAAGTGACAGATCATCCACTAGAAGTGACAGATCATCCACTAGAAGTGACAGATCATCCACTAGAAGTGAGAGATCATCCACTAGAAGTGACAGAAGTCATCCACTAGAAGTGAGAGATCATAGAAGTCCACTAGAAGTGAAGAGAGATCATCCACTAGAAGTGAGAGATCATCCACTAGAAGTGAGAGATCATCCACTAGAAGTGAGAGATCATCCACTAGAAGTAGGGGAGATCATCCACTAGAAGTAGGGGAGATCATCCACTAGAAGTGAGAGATCATCCACTAGAAGTGAGAGATCATCCACTAGAAGTGAGAGATCATCCACTAGAAGTGAGAGATCATCCACTAGAAGTGACAGATCATCCACTAGAAGTGACAGATCATCCACTAGAAGTGACAGATCATCCACTAGAAGTGACAGATCATCCACTAGAAGTGAGAGATCATCCACTAGAAGTGAGAGATCATCCACTAGAAGTGACAGATCATCCACTAGAAGTGAGAGATCATCCACTAGAAGTGACAGATCATCCACTAGACGTGAGAGGTCATCCACTAGAAGTGACAGATCATCCACTAGACGTGAGAGGTCATCCACTAGAAGTGAGAGATCATCCACTAGAAGTGAGAGATCATCCACTAGAAGTGAGAGATCATCCACTAGAAGTGACTTATGTAGATACATACAATATATAGTTTATGGTCAAGGTACTGACCAGTGTGTAGAGATTATGTAGATACATCCACTAGATGGATTGTGTGAAGAGGTACTTATGTAGATACAATACAATATATAGTTTATGGTCAATACTTACCATGGATTGTGTGAAGAGGTACTTATGTAGATACAATACAATATATAGTTTATGGTCAGTGTGAAGTGAGATACAATACAATATATAGTTTATGGTCATCCACTAGAAGTGTGACAGATCATACTAGAAGTGACAGATCATATATAGTTTATGGTCAATACACCATGGATTGTGTGAGAGACTTATCCAATATATAGAAGTGGTGTGAAGAGGTACTTGTAGATACAATACAATATATAGTTTATCACCATGGATTGTGTGAAGAGGTACATTTATAAAAACACATTGCACACCAAAGGGCATATTTGGATATAGAGTATTGCAGTTGTGTGTAGAGGTACTTATGTAGATACAATACAATATATAGTTTAAGCTCTGTGGTCAATACTTACCATGGATTGTGTGAAGAGGTACTTATGTAGATACAATACAATATATAGTTTATGGTCAATACTTACCATGGATTGTGTGTAGAGGTACTTATGTAGATACAATACAATATATAGTTTATGGTCAATACTTACCATGGAAGACCATGGCAGAAACCGACTTTTTGACATGTAGACAGGTGTACAGGGGCATGGGGATATCAGCATTTCTGATCTTTTCCTTCTGGTCGGACAGTTTCGTATGTTGTCGCTGACAACAAGAAAAGTTTATTGTCATTAAAACACTGTCAGATCATTTATTTTGTGACCAAAAGATAACATTTGCCTTGATCAACAAGCACATTTTGTAAATGTTGGATCATTCATAGAAATTAGAGAAATTCTAAATGCAATTTTCAATTATAATGATTATGAATAGTCTTCTCGGTGATACTCAACTTTAATCAGTTCAAGTTTTCTTAAATGCAATAGTGTGATTTCAATTTTACTGGTATCTACAGGATATGACATATACTTTGAATGATCTTTGATGTACAAGACTTATACTCACGTTTTTGAGAAGGGTCTCCCCAACAAGATGCCCGAAAAAGTCTGTGAAACTGACCGGCTGTCCCTGGCGCCTCTTCTCCATGATACGTGAAACATAGGAATACATGCTGTTAGGGCCTAGTAGATAGAATGGGCTAGAGTCAATATTGCTCTTCAGTTCCTCCTGGAGGTCCAGTGGTGACCTCTTGGGCCATTCAGGATGAGTGTACAGCTGGGACAGGTACCTACGAGTAGAAGGCAATAAGTTGGTAGTTACAGGTACACCAATAAGGTAAATATAGACATAAAACTCACACATTGGTAGATATAGATACAAAACAAAAGAAAATACAAATAAAAGATAAATAAAGGGAAAAAAATACAGGTAAAAAGTTAAAATGATTAGAATAAATGTCAGGAATAGTTAGAATAAGAAAACATAAAATAGCATTGCATCCATGACCATCTCTGGTGCCATCTTTATCACATTGTAAATAGGTATAGGATATTATATGACTTTCCATTTTATGTGAGATCCCTCAAACAAGTTTTTTTTCTTCAGTTTGACCACTTTAGATATTTATATAACACCTACCATGCTGATCCTGACAATCCTCCAGCATATGTGACCATTTCTAGTATATTTGTGTCTACAAGGGCACTGAACACCCCACTGTAGGCAGTCATTGCACGGAATCCTCCCCCTGACCCTATCACACCAATCACTGGTACCTGTAACAGGGGAGGTAATAGATAAAAAACATGTAGGTAACCTTAGAATTGAACCCTCCCCCTGACCCTATCACACCAATCACTGGTACCTGTAACAGGGGAGGTAATAGATAGAAAAACATGTAGGTAACCTTAGAATTGAATCCTCCCCCTGACCCTATCACACCAATCACTGGTACCTGTAACAGGGGAGGTAATAGATTAAAAAAAACATGTAGGTTATCATGGAATTGAATTCTTATCCAGACCCAATCACACCAATCACTGGTACCTGTAACCGGGGAGGTAATAGATAAAAAAAACATATAGATACTCATAGAATCGAATTCTTTTACAGAATCTATCACAATTGTAACAGGGATGTAATGCATGGTTACCATATACCAAAAAAAGTTCAAAATGACACCCAAATCATTGTCCACATCTTTTTTATCGTGGAGAATCATAACTTCTGAAAAAAGAAGAAATGAATATTAAACCATTATAACTGAAATATTTACAGTTGCTTACTTCTTGCATGGAAATTGGTGCATCCTTCCCAAGGTACTTCTTCATCGCCTCAAATACCTTCATCTTCCTTTTTTCCACAAATTCTCTTTCCTCTTCGCTCAGTGTCAGACTGAATCTTAACTGCGGCTCACAGCTAGACATAACAATTTTAAAGTCAGAATTAGTTTCGAACAATTTCTGGAAAAGACCTCAGAATAATAGGTCGGTAAAGTTAGATCAGTTACATATTGATTAAGAGTGATTTATTAAATTACCGGGCCCGATATTTTACTCCAGGATGTATTGATTAATGAAATGAAGAAACTTCTTCAGTAAGACTCTGGTATTGAGAAAGAGAGGAGATATATGATAGAACTTACTTCATGTCTGCCCATAGCTCAAAGTCAACTACTGATGTCTGAAATGGAATTGAAAAAAATTTGTGTAGATTTGAAAGTATGGTATAAGGTTAAAATTATGGTTTTATGGTATAAATTGTTTCCAGTTTATTAAGTCAATAACTTGTTGATACATAAGAGCATATGTGAATATAGGATAAGCTTTAAGTTTTCATGTGTACACGTCAGTGAAAGGTAAGGTTTTAACAGTTAGTCCTGAAGAAGCCCACTGTTCGGGTGAAACCGGTAGATGTTTCACACTAATAAAAAATCAACTTATCCCGAACCTGTTGCAATTACTTATATACTTTGATTTTCTTATGTACACGTATTATAAAAAAATATGGTGTCTTACCCCAAAAAACTCGAGTGTGTATTTTTCTTTTCCCTGATATGGGAGTTCTTTGAGATCGATGACCTGGGACCCCAGAGGTTCATCCATTAAGTAATTAGAATCCATCAGTGATATCTCTGCAAAAACATGAAACTCATATATGATAGCTATTGTTATGCATGGTGGTCCTGTATATGTAAGTTTAATATTTGAGACTTTCACCTCGGGTTACATTACATCTACTTGATGTGGTTGTGACTTGGATCCTCGTGTAGGTGTCTGTTGGGTTACAGATAATTTTCCTGAATAAATTTAATATTATGGACTGGTAGCATGATTTGTGACAATAAATGATAGGATCATGTGGTATTGGAAAGTGGATCATAGTTCTTCTTAAACACAAACAGGGTACTTAATGTATTATCAGCAAAACTTAAATGTTTAAACAATTCACTGATACCAGCATATCATTAACAAAAAAATTTCTTACTTGCATTTGTCAATTGAGAAACCCTTCCCTGTTGTTAGGAGATTTTGTAATTAACCTTCCTAAGCTACCACTTGTTTTGAAAAACCACTTTTATCATTCACTATCCAAAAATGAGGTACAATCTGTTAATATAAATTGTACTGAGCTACAATCTGTCACTATAGATTGTGCTGAGCTACCATCTGTCACTATAGATTGTACTGAGCTACGATCTCTCACTATAGATTGTACTGAGCTACCATCTGTCACTATAGATTGTACTGAGCTACGATCTCTCACTATAGATTGTGCTGAGCTACAATCTCTCACTATAGATTGTACTGAGCTACAATCTGTCACTATAGATTGTACTGAGCTACAGTCTGTCACTATAGATTGTACTGAGCTACAGTCTGTCACTATAGATTGTACTGAGCTACAATCTCTCAATATAGATTGTACTGAGCTACAGTCTGTCACTATAGATTGTACTGAGCTACAATCTCTCAATATAGATTGTACTGAGTTATCATTTGTCTCTAGTTTGTATTGAGTTATCATTTGTCTCTAGTTTGTATTGAGGTACAGTCTGTCATTACTGTTTATATTGCATCACCGTTACACAACAGTTTGTATTGAGCTGCCATCTTTCTTTACAGATTGTTGAATGTTACTGTACCAAGTCTATTGCTGTGTTCTCGGGGATCAATGTAAAAGGTAAAGGTCTCATTCCATACTGGGTTGATGTCATTGTCTTTGATGGAAGTTTTCTGTAAACAGTTGGGTGCAGTTTTGATGTAGAGGGTAACATATGGATCTGGTGTGTCCACTGTAAAGAGGAAAAGAAATACAATCTCTTAGTCAAATCTTCATTTCTTGATACATGGCTATTTGTCACTACAATGATATTAAATATTTAACAAACCTTCAAAATTTATAACATGTGGCTGAGTGATATTATCTCATTTGTCTCTCAGTCCTGATATGAATTTTACAATCTCCATGACCAATATGCCACTTTATCATGATTTTTTTAGGTTCTCTAGCCAAAAAAAATGTTTCCAGTGTGTCTTAATTGTTGTAAATCCTTTAACCTCCACTGTTACCTATGTCTTACTTACTGAGATCACCTGCCCATCCTTTTGTAATGTTGTATCCACTTAGAACTTTGATATAGAGCACAGCACATGGATAGTGGGTAACCTGTAAATGTTAGAAAGGATCTACAGATTACAACAGGAAATGGTAGCAAAATTATTTCTAATCAGGATGGATTCACAAGTATCTGAGCTAAATCTGGATATATTAAAGTATGTGTTGAATCCAAAATTTGTGCTTCCAAAAGAATGCTACATCAAGGCCAAGAATGGAGTGTTTAATTGGATAATTAAATATGTAATGATTTTAATTGAATAACTAAATATCCAAATTCACTTACTTCAAAAACTTGAAATGGATCAAACCTACAACAAAAAGAATCAAACTTAGAATTTGTCACCAGTTCACATGTAAGGGCCAGAAACTTAATTTTCTTATCATGAGCATTTATCACATCAGAACTGCAGTTTAATGAGTAAGAAAATGCTTTGATGGAAGAAAAGTGTATAGTGATGTTTCAATCAATTAAGTACTGTTACAGGATGTTTTATGTAAATCAGCAGTCAAGCATGGCCATGTAATTGGAGTGTTTCAGTACATATGGTATGACATGCAGGGTGAATGATTATGAAACATTATTATACTAATTTAAAGCTTACTATTGAGGTACACTTAATGTAATATGTGATACAGTTAAGACAAATGTTTAATACTTTGATACTAAAGACACAAATAACCTGACATGAATTGACTATAGTGTCGAAATGAAAGACAGAAATGTTTAAGGTTGAAATTTCATGTCTCATATGATGTGTATGTAATTTACCTCACAATATCTTTTTATATTCCTAATTTTTAACCTTTTCTTGGGTACCTGGTGTTTTATCAAAAAAATATTTGAGAACTGAAACTTAAATGAAAATCAATTTCATTTTGGAAACTTGAAGATTGCATAAAAAATTAATTTCCGTATGGACTTTTAAAACTTGGTATCTCTTAGTACCTATTAGAGTGTTCCCAGTAAGAGCTGAACTATTAATATTTCATTACAGCGGTAATGACATTTTATTACTATTTACATTAAAAGCAAAACACAAAATCTTAATGCTAAATGTGAAATGACTGTACATTCAACTTTATAGTCACTTCTGATTGCAGTTGTCGTTGATAAAGCGCTGAAACGTAAGTGTGTTGACAGAATAACATTCAAGATGTTACATGAATTTCAAGTCTTGCGCATAAGACTGTATTCTTTTTATCAACTATTTTAAAAAGAAAATTACCTATACTAAATTGGTAGATAAATAATACAGGTTACAAATAATGTACAAGTGAAATAATGTCAGTTGCTTAGTGTAAAGATGAATTGTCATAATAAAATTAAATATTAGTTTCATAGGTGTTGAAATTCAAGTTTTAATGATCATTAAACGTTAAGATGAAACATACACCTTCCAAAAAAAAGGAAGAAAGAAAAAAAATGTTGATTTTAAGAAATCTCTTAGATAATAAACATTGACATTAATTTTCTGGTGTAGTCAAATTTAAAGAATCATGAATTGAAACAATTGCCTATCTCATCCAGTCTCTAGATGAACACATATACCAAGATCTGTTTTACAATACTGATTTAGGTAAAGTGAGAATTCTGTTGACGGGTGGATTAAATTTTCGTGAAAGGGGAATCTTGATGTCTTGCCCAAACTCTATCAAATCCTGTTCAAACTTGAGAAAGTTTATCTCAATCTTGGTCATTTAGACTCTTAGCAATACAAGCATTTTTGTGACTCTGATTTATTCCCTTATGCTCGATAAACTGAGAAAACTTTGGATTATATTCCTTTTCCAACACCTTGTCCTGTCTTGTTTATGAACAAATGATACTTATATATGCCACTGTGCATCATCGTTCTCTATATTTACCTGGTAGTTAAGAACTTTTTGCAAATTACTGTCTTCATTGTGAATATATTGAGTTACATAAATAATATGTTTGTCATTACATTTGTTTTTAACAATGAATCTTGCAAATTTTCACACATAAATGATCAAAGGTTTGTATGACAGAAATAATCTACACAATTTGGAAAAAAGTTATAAGGCTACTGAATTATAAATATTGATATGAAATGGTTGCTGGGCAGACTGAAAAATCCTATGCTGTGTGTCCTATTACTTTAAAATGCTCTCCATTTTTCTTAGAAGTCAAACTCAGTAACACCCATACTAAGTGCTACACATGTACCTCTCTTTACACTTTATGTAAAAAGGTCAAAGACCAGATAGTTCCCCTCTGATAGGTAACTACTTAGAAATGAAACTGGTCAGGATCCATCATCCTGGAAGCCTTGAATCTCTTCAATCTTTCTCAAGTTAACCTTGTACAATATGAATGAAAAAAGATGTTGAGGGGGATGCAAATATTGTAGTGGGAATATTTTTATGATGGCCAGAAAAAGTAACCGGATATTTTATGATGGGGTATACAAATATGATATGACACTGGTCTACAGTATATATAGATTGAGTACAGGCTAATATTGGAATCGTGATGTATATATTGGCATGTAGTGAATATCTCTGAAATTTATTGCCTTCTATTTAAATGGAAATTGTGGTGTTATATATCTAGGTGTTTACACAGACTGGGAAGTCTTTTAACACATTTATTTGCCGAACAGGGGCATATTTAATATACATAATTAAATATGATTCTGTAAGGTTTTATGGAAATCGTGATATCCAGATATCACAATTTTAGTGACTTATGTTTAATGTAATTGTACCAGAAACTCCTAACAGTTTGTACTTTAAATAGTACTTGTACACTATATATTATAACTTTGTGTGTATATGAACAGAATTATTAATAACTGCATATGATATGAATAACACTATGGCATGACATCAATGGAATGAGAAAGTTTCAATAACTTAATGCTGAAGTGTAAGAGGAATTAAAAATGTTAACTTTATCAGGTATTGCCTTTTTCATCAGTGAAATATGAAATGTCAGGAATTATCAAACCGAAAATGAAATTTTCTGCAGTATACAAAGTGTTGCTTTCACACTTTTACAAAGCAGAATGGTGTTTTACATCATCTAAGTCCAGATTTTTATGTTAAGATCAGAAAAGTAACAATAGAACAATGGTTTCCTATTAAACACTGTTCACAACGTTCTCGTGCACATATAGATACATATGTAGGGAAGGATATGTATAGGAAATGTTGACTACATGATACATAGTGAGATATATATATAATACAGTATTGGTCACATGATACATAGTGAGATATATATATATAATACAGTATTGGTCACATGATACATAGGGAGATATATATAGGATACAGTATTGGTCACATGATACATAGGGAGATATATATATAATACAGTATTGGTCACATGATACATAGGGAGATATATATAGGATACAGTATTGGTCACATGATACATAGGGAGATATATATAGGATACAGTATTGGTCACATGATACATAGGAAGATATATATAGGATACAGTATTGGTCACATGATACATAGGGAGATATATATAGGATACAGTATTGGTCACATGATACATAGGGAGATATATATATAGGACACAGTATTGGTCACATGATACATAGGGAGAGATATAGACGAAATGGAGATATTGGTCTCTGTAGAAGTTTTAGTGATATAATCAGATTTGATTTTTAGGTCATCTGACCCGAAGGGTCATCATGCTTCGTCAAACTTTTCATTCAAACGACTTCTTCTCAAATACTAGAAGGTCTAGGGGGCTAATACTTGGCACAGAGGATACTGGCATGGAGCTCTACCAAGTTTGTTCATATATATAAATATGTTAAAATCTTTTAACAACTTCTTCTCATTAACCAAAAGGCTCAGAGTGTAGATATTGGGCCTGTGACATGCTGGGATGAAGGACTACCAAGTTTGTTCAAATGAATGACCTTGACCCACTTTAAAGGTCACAGGGGTCAAATATGTTAAAATATTTAAACAACTTCTTCTCAATAACCAAAAGGCTCAGATTGCTGATATTGTGCCTGTGGCATGCTGGGATGAAGGGCTATCAAGTTTGTTTAAATGAATGACCTTGAACAACTTTCATCAGGTCAAAATCTTTAAATAACTTCTTCTCAAATATATATAACTTTTAAATAACTTCTTCTCAAATACTAGGCCCATATTACAAAGTTTGTTCAAATGTGACCTTGGCCCACTTTAAAGGTCACAGGGGTCAAATATGTTAAAATCTTTAAACAACTTCTTCTCAATAACCAAAAGGCTCAGATTGCTGATATTGATATGATATATTTGTTTAAATGAATGACCTTGACAACTTTCAAGGTATTGAAGGCCTAGTACTTGGCACAAAGTTTGAATGACCTTGGCCCACTTTCAAGGTCACAGGGGTCAAATATGTTAAAATATACAAAGGACTTCATCTCAATAAGCAAAAGTCTATGAGTGCCGATATTGGGTCTGTAGCATATATCTTTAAATAACTTCTTCTCAAATACTAGAAGGCCTAGGTGGCTAATACTTGGCCCATAGCATGCTGGCATGGAGCCCTACAAAGTTTGTTCAAATGAATGACCTTGGCCCACTTTAAAGGTCACAGGGGTCAAATATGTTAAAATATACAAAGGACTTCATCTCAATAAGCAAAAGTCTATGAGTGCCGATATTGGGTCTGTAGCATGCTGGGAGGAAAGACTACCAAGTTTATTTAAATGAATGATTGAACAACTTTCAAGGTCGCAGGGGTCAAATATGTCAAAATCTTTAAATAACTTCTTCTCAAATACTAGAAGGCCTAGGGGGCTAATACTTGGCCCATAGCATGCTGGCATGGCGCCCTACAAAGTTTGTTCAAATGAATGACCTTGGCCCACTTTAAAGGTCACAGGGGTCAAATATGTTAAAATCTTTAAACAACTTCTTCTCAATAACCAAAAGGCTCAGATTGCTGATATTGTGCCTGTGGCATGCTGGGATGAAGGGCTATCAAGTTTGTTTAAATGAATGACCTTGATCAACTTTCAAGGTCACAGGGGTCAAATATGTCAAAATCTTTAAATAACTTCTTCTCAAATACTAGAAGGCCTAGGGGGCTAATACTTGGCCCATAGCATGCTGGCATGGAGCCCTACAAAGTTTGTTCAAATGAATGACCTTGGCCCACTTTCAAGGTCACAGGGGTCAAATATGTTAAAATATACAAAGGACTTCATCTCAATAAGCAAAAGTCTATGAGTGCCGATATTGGGTCTGTAGCATGCTGGGAGGAAAGACTACCAAGTTTATTTAAATGAATGACCTTGAACAACTTTCAAGGTCGCAGGGGTCAAATATGTCAAAATCTTTAAATAACTTCTTCTCAAATACTAGAAGGCCTAGGTGGCTAATACTTGGCCCATAGCATGCTGGCATGGAGCCCTACAAAGTTTGTTCAAATGAATGACCTTGGCCCACTTTCAAGGTCACAGGGGTCAAATATGTTAAAATATACAAAGGACTTCATCTCAATAAGCAAAAGTCTATGAGTGCCGATATTGGGTCTGTAGCATGCTGGGAGGAAAGGCTACCAAGTTTATTCAAATGAATGACCTCAACCCACTTTCAAGGTCACAGGGGTCAAATATGTTAAAATATACAAACGACTTCTTCTCAACAAGCAAAAGTCCATGAGTGCTGATATTGGGCCTGTAAGATGCTTGGAGGAGAGGCTACCAAGTTTGTTCAAATGAATGACCTCAACCCACTTTCTAGGTTTGGCTTGCTTTTTGTCAGATGACCGTTAAGGCCCATGGGCCTCTTGTTTTTATTTGAAGTGTCGTCTACCCTGCCCCAGGGTACTGATATTGGGCCTGAAGCATGTTTATAATCTTTAAACAAACTCTCAAATAACCAACATACCCAGTGTCATGGTAATTGTGTTTAAGTAGTATGATTGCAGGGAAATTAAATCAATTTTGCAGAAATTTGCTTAACGAACAAAGACATTTGAAGACAGATATATCCTTATGTGCATATGTAAACTACACAGTGTTGTAAATATTTCATTGATAATGACCTCCCAGCTTTCTAAGAAACAGTTTGTTGTGACTACTGAAAAGGAAAGAGGAACTTGATATTTCCATGTGTTTTCTCATGTATACATACATATCTAGTGCCATGACATACTTTTTTGTTTACAATCAATAGAGGAAGTTTTACTCCACTGCTCAAAAGAATGAATGGACATGAATATTTCATGCATGCTGGATTGTGTATCCGGTTGTGAATCAGACCAGAGACACACCTATTTCTTTTGTTTGGGTACTGACCTACATAACACCTTACTGATACCTATCATTGCACAAGCATTGGATGTAACATTGATTCTATTGTTGATTGAAACTTCAGATATTACTTCCTGTGTACTGAATGTGACTCAAAAGTGATGATGCTGGTTATTTACAGGTAGTAAGGACATGGTTTGATTAATATGAAGCAACATTCCCCATCAACAAAGCATGATGCCACTAGGTATGAGACATGCATTATAGATAAGGCGCTTTGATATTCACCTGGAAAGTTTAGGAAGATGTTGAAGTACCCGTCTTTAAAGAAGGATTAAAAAATAAAAACAGTAGAGCATTAGTTATCAAAACACGACATTTATACACATGTAAAACAATTACTAGACTAGTATGAAAATATCACTGGAAAATTAAAAAAAAACACAATCACAGAAACATAGTTAATGATGATGAGATATAGGAGCTATGATTTACTAATGGAATGGCCTTAATCACAGGAATGATGATCCTGGTACAGGTTACTATATACTAACCCAGAGGTAGGATTGGCATACATTAACCTGTCCTATTGGCCATAATCTGAATGAAATCTGAAATAATATTGATGATGTGACTTTATTTTTGTCAGTATCTTTTTGTACCTCTTCCCGTACTATTTCATTGGGGTGTAGGGGGTGTGGCATACTATGTTGTTCATTTCACACATTGCATTCCAAATCAATGTCATATATCTTTAGAACCTCTCGACAAATTTGGTTCATATTTACCCCATATCTTCTTAACGTCAAGTTCTACACCTGATCAGTGTCTGATTTGTGTAGGAGCAAGGACATTGATATTTTAAGACATTTTCTAGATTTTTCCAAAAAATTCTTTTTCTTAAATGAAAATTAGCCATTTTGTAATAGAAGTGGAGGATGTGGATGGTCACATTGTCAATTTTCACATTCTCCATGCAGAAACGTGATATAGTAAGGGTTAATTACAAACTTGTGGAGCTTATACATGGTTTAGCCTTTCACGGTAAGCAGAAAGAGTAAATGATGCTGAATTGTCACGTTATTAACACTCAATCAAATGAGACAAACAAAGTGCACAAGTTACCTACCCAAACAGGTCACTGTAAACATATCATTACCTCTAACATTACTCAATAGTATACCATTTATACATTCAGTTATGAAAATGTTTATGTTACATATCAATAGATTTTGTTTTAACATGGCTTTTGCAATGTTTAACCGGAAATATTCAAATAAAAAGTGATTGATTGTAAATTCTGCTGAGATCATAAAAACATTAAAGGAAAAGACAAATGATATAAATGGTATAATGCTGCTTGGGAATAAGTTCTATATCAAATTGTTTATGTACTTCAACTGTAATAAAGTTAGGGGGAGGGGGAGGAGGGGGGAGGGGGGCAGATATACTGGAATCAGCGTGTCCATCCATCTGTAGAAAAAATTTTGCCCACACATCTCCTCCTAAACTACTGGATTGATTTAAATGAAATTATACAGGAATGTTGGGGACCATGTTTAGATGTGCATTCAACTTTTTCTTCAGCAAAATATTGGCAGCCATGGTAGCCAGTCAATAGGATTTGTTTGAAAATTTTGTCTGCACAAGATCTCCTAAACTAATGTGTCAGTTTCATTATTTTTGAAGCATGAATGTTAGGTTCAATTTGTAAATTTGCATCCCTTTTTAAACAAAAAATGTGCGGTTGCCTCAGTAGTAGGTAATTCTATTAGCTATATAGTCAGCTATTGGCTTACAGTTTAAGTTGGTAAATGTAGATATAATTGTGTTTGTTTCGTGATAGGATTACAATAGCGGAGCTTAGGTAGCCTATACATTGACACTATTACAAGTTTAGCACTGTTTGATTACACTAACAAAGGACATGCTTGGATTCCTAATGATAAAATGATGATATCAAAAGTGAAACCCTCTTATTTACAGGATCGTTTTGTAAATATAACTAAGATACATTTCATGGTGACTGGCGGGATTATCACACCAAGTCATACTGTCGAGTTATTCACCTAGAAATGTGACAACATAATTCCCTTGAACATTTACGTCACATTCTGTCGCTGATTTCCATGATCAAAGAGTTAAATTGACAGAATGTAAAATTGTACAGATTTTTTAAAGGTTCCCCTTGGTAGTTTGGAAATTATTTTCTTTGTTCAGTTAAAACTCAGATTCGCCTATAATTATCGAAATTGTTTAAGTAACAAACACTGTTTTAAATGTATTCTGCACTTCAAAGGCTAATACATTACGACTGCTGGTCTTGAAAGAGCTAAAGTTCAATGTTCAGAAAAGATTACATGGTACCTGGTATAAGGGCAAGAAGTAGCTTGGACCTTTGGCCATAAATACATGAAGTATTTCAGGCAATATTTAAAGGTCAAATGTTAAAGGTCAAGAAAATATGAAAATCTCTGGTAGTATCACAAGTACTAGCCTTGTTTGTAAATACTCTCATTAGATATCAGTACATGGGTGTAATGACAGGAAAGGCTGGTAATTATGGTGGAACTAATTCTAGATTCAAGGTCAATAAATTGGAATAATTTCTAGTGGTATTTAAAACAAAAGTCAGAAAAACACATTGTTTATAGAAGTAACTTTGGATTTTTAGATAGTGAGAACAATATTGATTTTAATTTTAGATTGCTCCATACTTCCAAAGTATTTCAGCGACAGTTTGTAACCATCAATTTTCTGTAAACTGATCAGGAATCACTATCTATACAGTACTTACTTTTTTAGGTCCATGTCAGTGGTACGGGAAGAATTCTGATGATGGTGAAACAGTGGTAACAGCAACAGCAGATGAAAGCAAATTAAGTATTACACTAATCACAAGTCACTCACCAATCTTCATTACTGAAACAACAAAGGATAATACTGAAAGCTACATACAGGTAAATAAAATGCGAAATTTGTTTATAGCTGACAAGATGGCATGGATCACTCAGCTTTATGACAGTGTACACTGAAATCATGTTTGTCCAAGTAGTCTGGAGTTTTGTACTTCTGTTATAAGTCAACGGATTTTATGGAGAATTTGGGTCATTAGAGCGATGCTGTTTTCAGGATTAATAGTTTTCTACACAATAAACAGAATATTTCAAATTACTTATTTTGTAATGGAAAGCAAGACGTAAAACTATTTTGCCATTACCGTTGCGGATGTGAGATAGTTTTATGGAAGTCCATTTAGTACAAGGAGTTCCCCACACATGAGTTTGTTCCGAAAAGAGGAAAGAAAAAAATGAATCTTACCCTCGTTGACGTGAAACTTTTCATTTTGTCAGTATTAGTATATTCCCTCATGTATCATTAGAATGTCCTTGGGAAGTGTTTTACTGAAGATTAATCTGTGTATATATGTTGTAGTAAAAGTTAAAATCAATTAAGTGTTCAATGTATGAACTTTACACCTATTAGGCCTGCCACTCAACTAGGTTTCACAGGTAAATTGGTCAGGCTGATTGGTAGAGGAGTTGTAGTTGTAGCTATTTGCTTCCACTTATGAAATATACTGTCATGTGTATGTATATTATTGTAATCCTGTGTGCTGTCTCATAAAAAGGAAAAAGAAATTTTAAATGAAGATAATTACATTTTATTTTACATATGCTGGGGTCATTTACATTGTACAAAGTTAATTTGAGGAAGACCATCACAAAAATAGTTATAGGTACCTGTGCAGGCGTCATGGTGACAAAATATAAAGTAGGTAATTAATTAACGACACCTGGCCATGGTCAAGCAGTACATACATGTATTATATAACAGGAAAGCAGGGGTGACCACTGACACAGAGGAGACCTACTGGGTACAGGTAAATTTACCTGTTTCGATCTGTACAATGTACATGTCCAGAAAGACAATGATGAATCAAACTTCTCTTTAAAGTTTTTAATTTATTTTTGATGGTCATCAGAAAAGTATGTGGGGGTGATTTATGTATAAAGAGCGGATACATATTTGAGTAAGTGTCTGGGTAGGTTTATATTATATATCAGGGGGAAACATATATGATGGCCATCAAAAAAGTATCGAGGGGAGATTTATCATATATAGAGAGGGGATACATGTATATCTGCCCATTGTTACATCACTCTTACACATACCGTCCATTCTCTGAGCAAAGAAGTCAATATTACAGACTGTTCACTTGCTTTTTAGCTCACCTGGCCCAGATCTGTACGAATTATTTGATTTTGCCCAAATTTGGTCAGAAGCATCTTTGGGTGAAGGAGGTCAATTTTGTATAAATAGTGGATCTTTGCCCCCTGGGGTGTGAGAGTTGGTTCTTAATAGGGGGAAATAGTGCAAATTATCTAAAATCCTACTACTCCTGTAGGAATGATTGGATACTGCTCAAATTTGGTCAGAAGCATCTTTGGGTGAAGGAGGTCAATTTTGTATAAATAGTGGATCTTTGCCCCCTGGGGTGTGAGAGTTGGTTCTTAATAGGGGGAAATAGTGCAAATTATCTAAAATCAGACTTGGGTGAAGAAAAATTAATTTTGTATAAATGATGTATCAATGCCCCTCAGGGCAAGAGCAGCTTGGCTCTGGGGTCTGGCCCCACCCCTAGGGACTATGTTTCCTTGTTATATCTTTGAAACAACTGAAATACTCATCCTTTAACCATATTTATCAATGATGGGCGTCAAGAGACAAACACAATCATAATGTTAGAACTGGTAATAGGTTTGAAACAGTTGAGATCCCTATGGGCCTGCTGTTAGGTTACCTAAGACAAGGTCTCATGGTGACCTACTGCGATCACTCTCATCCGACATTGTGCATAGTGCTTCTGTAAACAGTTCAACAGTTTTGACTTCTTCTCAAAAATTCCTGATCCGATTTCAATGAAATTTTTCAGAAACCTTCCCTGGCCTACGATGAATCAACATTTTGAATTATGCAGTCTCCACCCCACAGGGGCCTGATGGGAGGTGCCCAAAGAAATTGACATTGATTTCAAAAATCTTCTTCTCAACACCCACATGGATCCAGGGTCTCACATTTCCCCATAGGGAGGGGGTAAAGTTTACTATAGTGTATATAGGAAAACTAGATTTTTGAATAGAATTTGTTTAATTTCCATTGGAAATATTTCAAACTTGGTTAGAATTATGAATGAAGGATGACAGCTCCCACCCCTGCCCCTGCAAGCATCTTCATTAAGTGTACATTATTGTAAACAGTTAATTGAACACCTATACAAGTTCCTCTGGTATATGTGGCCAACTGACTGTCCAACAACCGCAGTATGAACAGCTTTGTAAAACAGACAAAGTTACAGTATTGATTTTGAGAGGTTGGGGGGGGGGGGGGGAGGCGGGGTACAACATATGACTGTGCATGTTGACATATAGTAAGTACATATGTAGAGTTAAGAATTCAGAATTATATGTTCTAATTTCTCATCCTGATATCAAAATCTATTTCTGTTGTGTATATTATGATGCATTTTTTTCATTCAGAAAATACTTTAATCTGATTGGTTGTTGGAAATGTTTTAAACAATACATTATTTACCACTTTCCAGGTAAGATAATAGTGTATCAGTTAGTGACATGATTCCTCTACATTGCATCATTCTGTAATACAAGTGGTGGTCCATTTTGGAGGAACAGTTAAACTGAGTCATTTTGGAGGAATAGACTGAGTTAAACTGAGTCATTTTGGAGGAATAGACTGAGTTAAACTGAGTCATTTTAGTACTTAAACATGATTAAAGATTTTTGCCCACAGCCCCTCATCTACCTTAAAATCCTACACCAAACTTTCCTCAATTTTTCTTGTTTTCCTGAAGACTGAATGGCTAAACAGTTACCTGAATCAAGTTCCTAAAACTTACTGGTGTTACACCTAAAACAATCTTAGTTCTCACATGAAGTATTTTATCACAAGGCAATGGTGACATAGTTTGATAGAATTATACCAATTTATAAACCATTTCTTAAGTTTGATGGTATTTCAAAATTATAATGATAATATCTGTTTGCTTTGACAAATTCAAATAAAATCTGTGTGAATGAAAATATTGATGAATTTTGATCCTACACCTGAATTTTCTGAAATGGTTGGAGTTGGAAAAATAAATAAATTCCAGTTATTTTTCATCCAAATGAATAATGTTTCAAGTTGATACAGAATATATCTGAAAACGAAAGCTGTGCATGAAAACACAATTGTTTTGGATTGAAGTTTTTTCTACAAATTATTGGGAATAAATATCTGTATAGCACATGAACCACAATATAACTAAAGACATTACTGATTCATCAGGAGGTCTATACATGCAGTAATATAACCAAAAGTATCATGATCACAGCATTACAAACCTTGTGTACATTGTTTCACTCCATCCATTTCATATTTTCCCAGTGACTATCAAACATAACGAGGTCATAAGTGCAAACAGTGATCCCAGAGTGGTACCCAGTAGTTGTGGTACAGGTAGATATGTCAGGGAGATCTCCTCATGACACTTTAAATCGTACTTATGACAGCGAGAACTCAATGAAAGGTATTAGGTTTTTCTGCACATATAAATATATGTTTAGTTATCTAAATAAATACTTGATTCCTTAATGACACTTGAGTTGTACAATTATATACAGTAACATATCAGAATTGACATATTGTTTCTTATAGAACTATATTACAGCAAATGAGAAATAAGTACTTTATAAAAGATACCTGAACATTTGTTGGTATGGTCCAAATTCACTAAAGTCAGCTAGCTGCTGAACTGGATGCCCGGTGAAGTTAGTAAAGTTAGAAAGAGGTAAGTATGCTCAAATTTTGCTATCATTTTACTTAATTTGGGAAAAAAAAGCCAATGTTTCACTAAAAAAAAAATCCACTCTTCTTTAAAAAAAAATTTCTTTGAATCTGTTGAGAAATAATAAGACAAAAATTTCATATGTGTTTGTTACTATAACATTTCTTAAATGAATTCAACGCTATAGGCAGACTTTGTGATATTTGCTACATACAGGCACACTTAAGTCCAGTACTTGACATATATGAATGAGTGTCAGTACTCCTCTCTGACCTGTAGGCCTATCACACAATAACTTCCTGTATTGTCATTTTCAGTGCATTTACATATATATTTACAAATATGGCACAGCTTGGTCCTATTTAGAAAGTTTTGTCATGATATCACATCTACCCAGCTACACAAGCTGATAGCAACAGGTGCTTTCATATAAATCCAAATATATTTTTATATAGTTAGTGGCATTTCAGTTTTTGCTGAGTTGTATTGTAAAATTATTAGTATGCCTAAATTTCTTTAGTCCAGAAATATTGTAATAAATGTTAGTATGAGGTATGCAATTGGAATGTTGGATTCTTCTTTGTCCAAACCAGGGACATGACTAGTGATCATGACTTCGTAATTGACTGCTTAACTAATCTGCTTTAGGGCAATTCTTTGGAACGTGAATCTATACAGTTAAAATCTTTCACATTATTTCAATCACCTGTCACTGCTGGGAGGGCCACAACACCATTTCTGTCATCAGTTGTTTGGTATCTCAAAAATGTTTTTGTCCGTACAAGATGTGCACTCATTAGTCTGTCATGTAAAAATTTTACTATTGCTCGTTCTTGTGAATTACAAAAGGCATTTCCTGAAAACATAATGATATGCCAATGAATCCTATCTGTGTCTGCATCATTTTGAGATTGATAAAATGTTCAAGATGGCCACCAGTGGCCACCCTTTAGGATTCGCCATT